TAAGTAAAATTAAAACTATATTAAAAATATTATTAATTTAAAAAAACTAAAAAATATTAAAAATATTAAACTCAAAAGCCACAAAAAAATTAATGAAAAGTCGCGGATACGTATTTCGGAAACAATGTTACCATTATCAACGCTAAACACATACTGACACCCCGACTAGAAAAAACTCCCTTATATACCCCTAGTGACCTTATCACCTAGTGACGTTATCACTAAGTAATATTATCACATTTTGCCAGTTTACACAAGTTTAATAATGAATTTTTCAGTGGGCCAAGATCCCAATTAATTAAATTGTTTTTATTTTTAAACATTTCTATTGCTTCTCTGATATTAAGTTCTTTGTAATTATTTACGTTTTTAATTAGTTTTATGGTTTTAATAGAGTGATTATGTGTCAATAAATGTTCGGCCACTGGAGATTTCTCAATTTCTTGATTTTTAATATTTCTTAAGTGCTCTTTAAACCTGACCCCTATATTTCTTTTTGTTTGTCCTACGTAACATTTATTACAACTTTCACATTGTATTTTATAAATGCCTGATTTCTCCCCTTTATCTACCTTATCTTTAGGGTTACCTAATAAATCTCTTAAATTATTACTCTTAGATGTTACCAAAGTAATACCAAAATTCTTAAATATTTTAGTTAATCCATTTGAGATGCCCGGATAAAATAAAATTGGTGATCTAATTACTTTTTGTTCCCCCTCGCTGGAGAGTGTACTAGCTGCCCTCCTTTCTTTTTTCCACTTTTGTTTTCGGACTAATTTCAAAATTATGTTTTCGTTATACCCATTAAATTTAGCTATTTCTTTTATAACCACCAATTCTTTATCATAATCTATTTTATTCATCGGAATATTAATTAATCTGTAAACCATACTATTAAAAGCTGACAATTTGTGTTGCCAGGTGTGGTTCGATGTGTTCGGAATGTATCTGAACGTGTGTGTGTTTTTCCTATAAATTTCAAAATTTAGTTCCCCCTCTGTTCTTTTAACTAATAAATCCAAAAAAGTCAATTTTCCCTCTACTTCTTGTTCATATGTAAATTTAATCGATGGGTAAAAAGAATTTAAATGTTGTATGAAAACCCCCATATTAAAATCTTTATTTATAACTGCAAAAATATCATCTACATACCTAACCCAAATTTTTGGAAAATCACCATAAGTGTATTTTAAATTTGTTTCAAACCTACTCATGAAAAGTTCTGCTAAAAATGGTGATAGCGGATTTCCCATTGCTGTGCCCTCAGTTTGCTCATAAAATTTATTTTGAAACTGAAAAACATTTTGACTCATACATAACTTTGTTAAATTAATAAGCTCATTTATTTTATCCTGTTCAATGTTTTGGTCCTTTAGCCAGTCTTTAAGAAAATCAATTGTTATATTTATTGGAATATTCGGAAATAAGGCAACTACGTCAAAAGAAATTAACCTGTCATTATTTTGAATGGTATAACCAGATAATTGTTTAACTAAGTCAATATTATTTTTAACTGAAAAGCTATCGAATTTTTTGAAAGATGAAAATACCCTTACTAGGTGTTTAGCCAAATTGTAAGTCGGAGCATTAATATTGGACACAATAGGTCTCATAGTACTTCCTGGCTTATGTATTTTTGGCAAAGCATATAGTTTAGGTATTTGAGGGTTTGAAATTTTAATGTAAAATACAAAATCGAGAATTTTCACATAATAATAGCATTTGGTAACCATTTTTACCGTGAAGATAAAATAAAGTCCGAAATTTTTTTTTGCATAATAAAGAATATTACATTAGCTTTAATTTAAGATATATATAAAAGTGTCAGACCTTCCGGAACATTTTCAAAAGTTAAGTTGAAAAAGTTAATTTTTTTTGAAAAAGTTGTCATTTTAAATCCCCCCTTGTGGGCAGGTTAAGGGTTAAATTTATGAAAAAAATATACCAAACGAAAGGTTATGATATTACACATCTATATAAAAAAGAATTATATTGATATGTTCATTTTTGAAAAAGTTATGGCACTTTTAAGTAAAAAAAATTGAAAAAATTTCGAAAATTAGCGATTTTTATATTTGTAATTTTTTTGGAGGTTTCCCCCATTTACGGGGAACGAGGGCATTTTTTTCAATTTTTGAAGGTAATGTCTTCGACTAGATACAATTTGTGATCTTTTGACGTATCATTGAAAGAAATTGGTTCGGTGAGAGCTGAGAAAAAGTGGTAACAGACAAAAAAAAAAAAAAATAAAAAATAAAAAAAAAAATAAACACATCTTAGTAAAACCAATACCTTCTCAGCTTCGCATCGAAGCTAAAATACCTAAACACAAACAAATAATTGGATTAAATTTAGATTTTGCAAATTTGAAAATATTCTAACAAACGTATTACTTACAATCAAAACTTATATCTAACAATCACCTCTTTTTAATTTTTTACATTTGAAGTTATTTTAAAACTAACATCATAGAGATAAATTGATCTAGTAAATAAAAACATAACTTAGTTTTAAATTAAACAGAATACATAATACTATCACAGATTCTAGGACAATACAATGTTTTATCATTGTTATGATAAAGTGATGCTTCGTAGGTTAAAGTTTATTTTAGAATAAAGTATAAATAATAGTAATTAGCGTGGACAAAATGTATATAATTTTATTTACATAATTTTATTTTTCAATTTGCTACCAAAAATTTAAAAATTATTAACCAAAGGCCTTACTTTGAAGCGAAATTCAATCCAATCCAATGTTGATCGTGCTTCGTATGCATTACAAATACAAATATATAAATTATAATTGATCAATTAAAACTTATAAATATATAATGTTTAACTTAAGTATATTGTTTTTTAACGTTTTATGGCCCTTAATAGTCTTATTAAGGGCCATAGCGACCTCCCTAAAGGAGGAGATTTCTTAACCATTGATAATCCGGGACCGGTGGTTAGTATGTCGCTGGAGAGAGGGATGGCGACTCCTATTATCAAACTGATCTTTCACTCGGCAAATGAACCCGCCCGTGACAGAGTTTCGAACACGAGGTAGTCGCGTTAAATACTGCCGCGTTACCATTTCAGCCACACCGTTCTTCTTAAGTATATTGTACACGACTTTCAATATGACTACACTGCATTTGCTAAAATAACGTATTATGTTTCAATAAACTAGTAATTTTTGTAATATTTATATATACGATATTTTATACTTCATATTTACATATGGTGGTGACCAACACCATGCAAATTCTAGGTTAAAACACAAAAATGTAGGTTTAATGTGTATAATCGACAATGACGTTGTTAAATTAATAGTGTTGAATACTAATCATAAATAAAAGTTCAGTAACATCAAAATGATTACTAACATGATAATCAATATCATAACATCACTATCAAAGTGATGTTAACCTTAAAAAATTATGATTATAATTATACATTTTGTTGTCCCAATAATACATTTTAATTTATTACTAATCACTAAATTTAATCTATCATTGCTTGATAAAAGATTGAAACATCTCTCATAATCCATTTTGACTTACAAATATTTCTATTAGAGCGGGACATAAGGAAAAGAACTTAAGTTTAATCGTATATAAATATCGAATATAAAAATTAAGGAATTATTATTAAGGTTAACCGTATATATGTGTAATAAATAATGACATATGTGTTAATTTAATTAGATTAACTCATAAGTTGGTTAAGATTAGCAAAATTTAGGTTAGGTGTCATTTTTTATCCAAAAGTTTACTCATGTAAAATTTTGTTGTTAGAATTCTTATTAGAATCTAAATGCAGGGGAGGGTCCTATGGAAATACGTTACTCATAACTTACTGTTCCCTTAATTTAAACCTATCGTAAACGTAATCATAAATATGGTTAAACTATTAATAAATACACGTACTTTGAAGGACTAATTTATAGTCAATTTGAAAACAAATATTTCTTAATTGTTACTTTAAAAGTAAAAAAACTATTTTTTTTAATTTTGCTAAATTTTCAAAAGATTTAATTAAAGTAAATCATAATTGATGAATTTAATAGATTAACAAGTTAGCTTGTGTTGCGAAGTATAAAAATATTATCTACATTATTATACTTCTTTAAATATGTATACAACCTGTAGTGCTAGCTGTGCATAAACAATATTAAAAGAAAACCTTCGGACCTATTCTGCTATAAATATACTTTACACTACTCATTCCTATTACATAACTTGCGCATTGTCGATACTTTCCAGTCTTAATTAATATTTATTGTAACAGAAATATGGTTTCATTAAAATTATTATTGTTAACTGTTTGTCTTGTAAAATTATTATCCAATTATTTAGTATATGGTATAATTTAATAATACTAATAAAATGAAAAAATAATAAAATTTTTTTTTTTTTTTTAATAGGTAATAATCTTTTGTATCGTGAATTAGGATGTACTTCAATTCTTACAGAAAATTCTGATGCAGGAGCCTACGATTGTGGTAAATAATTACCAACTTAATAAAATTAGTTAAATTAAATAATAAAATGGTTAAAAAGGTAATTTTGAGACAAGGTCTGCCGACAAATGTTATTTTTACGGCAAAGCGTATGATTTGAATCAAGAATTATCTGATGCCGATTCAATAACAATTCCATGTTATGCTGCTTGTAAATGTAGATCTACTTCTTTTAAAGGGTAATTATATAATAACTTAGATGAATATATAATAAAAAATATAGTTTAAAAAAACTAAAAGACACGCTTTTAAGCACTAAAAAGCTAAAAATAATTGTTAAAATAAGCTTAAAACAATAATGAACAAACAGTACTAGTATAATTGTGATAAAAGTGTCGGTCGCTCAATATACGAAAAATATGGCACAAAGCACCCACGCTTTTATCACAATAATACTAGTACTTTTCGTTCATTATTGTTTTAAGCTTATTTTAAAAATTATTTTTAGCTTTCTAGTTCGATGTGCTTAAAAGCGTGTCTTTTAGTTTTTTTTAACTATATTTATTTTTCACTTTTTAGTTACATGTTATGATAGTTATGATAAAGCGATTGAAGTACGTAATCGTATCATGCACGAGGTATAGCCGTGTTTTTTGGGAGGGCGTGACGGGGGGGGAACGTTATACACGAGGTATATACGGCGGGAGCGGCGTCGGCTGTAGGGATATATAAATGAATATTAACATATACGTATATATAAATATTAATATTAGCGGTGGCGGTAAGAATATATAATCTTCGCATAATATGGCGGCACTTTCGCTGGCGTCGGCGACGCGATGTCCGGCGTGATCCTCGGGCGTCAAAAGGTTAGCAACGTAGATGTCGACGGTGTGCGAGTGCGGATCGGTTTGTTGACGTTGTCACTTTGACAACGAGAAGAAGACTACGGTATCATTAGCGGCGGGACATCGTGCGGCACTTGCTGGATTTTGCACCGAGGAGTATAACGCGCGGTGTTGGTCAGTCAAATACTCATAAAATAAGGCGACGGCTGATAAAGGTGGCACGACTCGTGGGGCATCGTGTATAACAAAACGACGCGGGGCCGTGTCAATTACAATAAAAATTTGTTATATATATATATATATATATATATAATTAATGACACGCACGCGTATACGGGACGAAAACCAAAAATAAAATTATACAATAAAATTGTGTAGTGGAGAGTGGTGAGCGGGGTGGGGTGAATGCGTTACGACAGTCTAGTCTCAAGGTAATAACCGACGGGATACGCGACATAATAACACACGTGCCGCGTTGAGTTACAAACTTACAACAAACAACATACATGTGAAACTAATATAAGCGTGTTAAAATCATTAGAATTAATTTAAAGTAAACGGTTTAGTACCGTGGTAGATGAAAAGGTGGACCTCTATTCGACACAATTACAATAAAATCTAATGTATCAAAATAATGAGTTTTAGAAATTTTTTATAATTTGTACAGAGAAATATATTTTTTGTAATGTATCCACAAATTATGAGTCAACTCAATTTAAAAGGATTATTATTTGCACTTTAAAAACGTCAATTTTCATAAGTTACTTAAGAGTTTTTGGATGTTGAAAAATTGCTAAAATTGAATGACACTTTTTGAAAGACATTCTTGTCTTTACTTTAAAACTTTGTTCCTAAATGTTCCGAGATGCAAGGAAAATTAATAAAAATATTTTAAAATGGAGGTGACGATGATATACATAGACACCAATTGATCTTTGACCAATTGACCACTAATTGCATCTTTAACAATATATGAAATATTTACCATGGAAAATTAAGTAGGTTCACTTAAGTAAAAATGGAGTTTGTTTTAACAACCAAAAATAACAAACAATGTTGTAGGATTTTTTCATAACTACTCAAATATAGAAGAGAAAAACTAGAGTATTCTGAAAAATTAAGATATGATTTGTGAATGTTAAACATTATATGGACGTATTTCAAGTATTATGTTGAGAATATTTTTATGGCTTTTAGAGTTAAATTTTTAATGTTTTTTGTTTTTAATTAATATTTTTAAAATTTTAAATCAAGGGAAAATGTTGCAAGCTTTAGATGCGCCAATGTTGAGTGTCCATCTTTATTTAACAGACGGCCTGCGGAACCTTGCTACTATCAATACGAAAAAGATAATTGCTGTGAAGTAAAAACTTATTGCCGTAAGTTTGTTAGATAGATTAATTCCATGAAGTAGACGAATTATTTATTTTATTATCCTTGGATTTTATTAAATTTTTTTTTATTGTTTGCATGTAAATATGCCAGTGTCATATTTATGGAAGGAGATTTAGAACATTTGTAATGGGCTCAATCATAAAAGGACCCTTCTGTTAATATAATTTGGGCGAATTAAATTTATCAATAGCTTGTTTTACTTACTTTAGTTAAATTATAGTTTTTAAAATATTCAACATTTTCATTTGTACTGGATCTGCTAATTGTTAAATTCGCAAAGTATTTTTATACATTTTGATAAAAAATTATACAACAATTCAAAATAGTTTAAAAACGTCAGAAATTAACTTTTGAGTGTATAGCTTAATTTTTGAGCCCTAATCTAGCGAAATAACAAATAAATAGTTTATATAAAAACAGATTACAAAACCACTCTCTTTTAGCCTTAATAAATACTGTGTTATCAAAAAACCCCAAAATATTTGTCTCTAGTTAAATATAATCTTACATCCTTAACATAACGTTGGACATTTACGTAAAATACTTAACGTCTTTATATTGTACATTGGTAAGATCCATTTTGAACACGCGTCAGATATTCAGAGTCCTTATCAACATGGTTTAATTGATTCGTTAGATTCAATTTAACGTAATTCTTTGACATTTATTGCTTATAAAATGAGTAGTTAAAATGTAACTAACTTGGTGATTATTGCAAAAAATATTAAGTTGCATTCATTACTATTTAAAAAGAAATTTAACGATGTTTTTTTTTTATATAAATTACTAAATAATAATATTGATAACTCTGATCTCTTATCTTTGATTTATTTTCACGTGCCTTCTTATGGTTTCAGACTTCACTCCTTATTTAAAGTTTCTAATACTTAAAACTATTATCAGCCGATAAACTGTATGGTATTTGAGATTAACAAAATAATATAATGTGATTTTCATCTCAATGTATTTTATTTTAACAAAAAAATATTTTGTATTTATTGATTATGTTATATAAAGTATTTTAACTGTATTTAATGCTACCTATGGCCATTATATCAAGTAAATAAATAACTTTCTCGTGCATATAATTTGTTTGAGAATAATAATAATAATAATAATAAAATTATTATTTATTAGGGGGAGCTAAGATAAATTTAACCCCTACATTTTCAATGTTAGAAGATAGGTATAAGATAGGTTTCACATACAAAGTTATATAATTTTATTTTGTTATTTATTAATTTATTGACTCTATTTCTGTGGTTTACTTCCATTCTATAGTTTCCAAATTTTTTGGTAATATGATATCGTATAAATCATTTCTAAAAAACCCAGCACAGGGGGGTCGCGGCACAGTGGTGACATGGTATAGATGGATCAAGTATAATGATATCTGACAGTGATTAAAATCTCTATAAAAAAAAAACGCTTCGATGCAAATCTTTAGAAAGTGTTTAATTTTAAAAAATTGGTGGATTATTCCAAAAGCTACATGATCTGCTAGTTCATTATTAATATCCTAATTAAGATAAAGTATGTCGAATGAAAAAGGGATTATTAAAAAATATTATTTCTTATAAAAAAATAATGTTGATCCATACACTTTTAAATATGTCATAGCATTATAAAGTTTAATTATAAACCCAACCCAACCATTTTTACCGTGAAGATAAAATAAAGTCCGAAATTTTTTTTTCGCATAATAAAGTAGATTACATTAACTTTAATTTAAGATATAAATAAAAGTGTCAGACTTTCCGGAACAGTTTCAAAATTTAAGTTGAAAAAGTAAATTTTTTGTGAAAAAGTTGTCATTTTAAATCCCCCCCTGTGGGCATGTAAAGGGTCAGATATAAAAAAANTATTTATTTTTTACTTTTTAGTTTCATGTTATGATAGTAGTTACTATCAATATCATGGTTGTTACGGGTAACGGGAAATCAGGGTTCGATTCTGGGGAGGGAGTCTGAGAAACGGCTACCACATCCAAGGAAAGCAGCAGGCGCGTAAATTACTCACTCCCGGAACGTGGAGGTAGTGACGAAAAATGACGATACGGAAATCATCCCTCGTAATCGGAATGAATACTTTATATCTCTTAATTAGAATAAATCGTGTTAATATATTAATTTTAATAGTAATTAGAATATATATATTTATACAAATAATGCGACTTAACTACGTAAAAGTATCATGCACTAAGTATAGCTGTGTTTTATGGCCGGGCGGGTCGGACTAACGTTATACCCGAGGTATAAACGGCGGTAGGAATATATATATATATACGTAAGGCGCATTAGACGCGGGCGTTATTGGTCAGTCAAAATAAAAATTTGTTTACATATATATAATATTGATGACAAGCACGCGTGTACGGGTACGATAACTAAAATTATACAGAAAAATAGTGTAGTCGCCGACTGGTGAGCGGGGTGGGGTGAATGCGCTACGACGGTCTAGTCTCAAGGTCATAGACGACGGGATACGAGACATAATAACACGTGCCGCGTGGAGTTACAAACTTACATACAAACAACATACAAACAATATACAAAATACATGTGAAACTAATAAAAGCGTGTTAAAAAGAATTTTTTTACAAAAATCGTATTTTTTTTATAAACTTTGATGTCTGTTTTCACCATAAAGATAAAATAAAGTCCGAAATTTTTTTTTACCATAATAAACTATATTATATTAGCTTTAATTTAAGATATATATAAAAGTGTCAGACCTTTCGGAACACTTTAAAAATTTAAGTTGAAAAAGTTCTATTTTTTACATGCATGTTTTAGATTTGAACCCCCCTCGTATATAGGGAAATGGTCCGATTTAAAAAAACAGTATGTCAAATGAAAGATGTATATGAATACTACTCCTCATAAAAAAATTGTACTGATCCATACATTTTTCAAAAAGTTATAGCATAATAAAGTTAAAAATGTAAAATACAAAATCGAAAATTTTCACACAAAAATAGCATTCGGTAGCCATTTTCACCGTGAAGATAAAATAAAGTCCGAAATTTTTTTTTTGCATTATAAAGTATATTACATTAGCTTTAATTTAAGATATATATAAAAGTGTCAGACCTTCCGGAACATTTTCAAAAGTTAAGTTGAAAAAGTTGTCATTTTAAATCCCCCTTGTGGGCAGGTTAAGCGTTAAATTTATGAAAAATATATACCAAACGAAAGGTAATGATATTACACATCTATATAAAAAAGAATTATATTGATATGTTCATTTTTGAAAAAGTTATGGCACTTTTAAGTAAAAAAAATTGAAAAAATTTCGAAAATTAGCGATTTTTAAATTTGTAATTTTTTTGGAGGTTTCCCCCATTTACGGGGAACGAGGGCATTTTTTTCAATTTTTGAGGGTAATGTCTTCGACTAGATACAATTTGTGATCTTTTGACGTATCATTGAAAGAAATTGGTTCGGTGAGAGCTGAGAAAAAGTGGTAACAGACACAAAAAAAAATAAACACATCTTAGTAAAACCAATACCTTCTCAGCTTCGCATCGAAGTTAAAATTATTTTGAGTTTCACCTGAATTAAACAATGAATTTTTTCAATTATAATCAATTTTTATAACATGCATAATTGAGCTAATTATTATTTTCGACGCGATGCTAAGAAGGTAATTAATCTTGTGATGCTATGCGTTATTTTTTGTCTGTCCATAAAAGTTTACAACTCTCCTAGACAGATTTGAATGATCAATACGCCAAAAGAACCCAATTTTAATCATATATTATCCAAGTATTGAAAAAAACACCTTAATTTTAGATATTTAGACAAATATCTCTAAATTACGCTACTGTAAAAAACGGCATTTTCAAAAAATATTTTCTACATTTTAAATGCAGAAACTTCTAATGAAAACATTGATTCTAATGAAATTTTAATTGAGTATCCTAGATAAAATATTCTTTCGTGGGGTATTCTTTTATGACAATTTAATGAAAAACCTAAGTACAAGAAGGGTTTAAAAAAGACTATTCAAGCGTTTTAGGATAATTTTTTTCAACACTATTTTTGGATATGTTCTGGAATGACTGCTTTCTTCAAATTTACATCGAAGTAAAGATTTTGAAATAGATCATAAGACAAAAAAAAATTTACCCGGCGACTGTTTCACTATGAATAACACGNTATGTTCTGGAATGACTGCTTTCTTCAAATTTACATCGAAGTAAAGATTTTGAAATAGATCATAAGACAAAAAAAAATTTACCTGGCGACTGTTTCACTATGAATAATTGGTCGTCAAAGTGAAAAATTTCACAGTTTTTTTATAGTGTGTATTTTTAAAATTAAATATCTCCAAAAACAATAGGAATATAGAAATCAATTTATACAAATTTACGCAAAAAAATTATATTGCTAAATGAATCATTTTTGTGCTGATATTAAATCTGCAATTAGATTTTTCCATCGCCTCTTTTTTGAGATTATTACTAATTTATAAAAATTAGTATATACATATAAAACTTGATTTTGAATATATTAAAAATAATCCGTGCAAAATTTCGTTTCAAAATTTCATGTTTGACATATTATTTTGTTCCTTTAAAGTAAATTATCATGAAAGTTTGTAACTTAAAAATTTTGAACTTTACAGGTGGGCAAATTTTTGGTAGATTATTTAAAAATGTTTACTCTCTAAAAAATATTTATAAAACAATGCTACATTGTAAACTGGGTAGGCTAAGCATCCCTACACCCAAAGAAAAACCTCAATCAATAATTTTGATAGAGAAATTTTATCAAGGGTTTATGATAATGTTTTATTAATACGAACAAAATAATTATTCTTATAAATAATTATTGTTCAAGACAAGAAAAAAAATTATCATATTGATAAATATATCATAGTTTCAATAGTAATGATATATTTATCAAATTGAACAATGAATTTATTATACAGATCGAGGTTTTTCTCTGGGTGTAGCCTCTCAACTACTATAGATAGTTGGGAGAAATAACAACTAAAATTTTTTATTAAAATAAAAATTTATATATATATAAATTTTTTTATATAAATTTATTTATTTCTAGCTGAAACAAAATCTACGGTTTATCAATGCGAATACGATAACATTATGTACAAAGAGGGCGAAAAAATATACATCAATAATAATATTTGTATTTGTAAACCAGGGTTTAATGGTATGATATCATAGACTACTATATATTGTTTAAAAAATGATAAAATTTAAATTTTTACATTTTTTCCAAATAAAAAATTGCGTAAAATGCTTTAATTTGTTAATAGGAACTATTAACAACGATTGGTGTAGAGAAATAAGATGCAACAATGAAATTAATAATATTAAGTCCATAATAGCTAAAGGGGCTCCCGTGTATTTCAAGACATCTGAAGGTTGTCCTATTGAATGGTTAAACCGTAAGTTCCATTTTAATAACAAATATTTTGAACAATTATAATAAACAGAAAAAAAGCTAATTTCTACATTTCATTGTTTATTAAGCTGAAAATATTCCTGGAACTGCAGGAAAATTTGCTTCAGCCGGTAAATCCCAAATCGTTCAAAAATGCAAATATGGATCACTTGAGCTATTAGTCGGTCAAGAATTAGAAATAGGTGATTTATCAGATTCTGAATCATACAAAACTACTTGTTCCTGTGAAATTCCACCATTTATTACTTGTTTAAAACAAATCAAATCATGAAACGATTCAAAATACTTTTAAACCAGCTCATTTTAATATTACTATTTAATATAATAATATTACCTATATAATAATATATATTTATATACAATCACAAATCATAAATTTTAATTATATATTTTTAATTGAAATTTGCACACGTGTCAATTTATTCAATTTGTAAATATAAAATAAGGACAATACTATGTTATCTGCGAGTAAATTTCTGTAAATATATTTGTAGGCAGTGCTGGGGCCAGGTTTTACAAGGCCCAGGGCACCTAATAATTGAGAGACTCTTGTGTCATAAGGGAGAGTGTTGAGAAGAATGTTTTTCCCACTAAAAATGATTACATGGTGAAGATACAATATTTGTTCATTTGGAGGTAGTAATAACAAGTTTTCTTGTGTAAATCCCCCCAAAAACAAAACCCTATCTACCTTATGTCTACGTGTAAAGCGCATGTGGACCATTTGTCGGGATTTTGAGGCGGAACAATATTTAATACCCTATAGTCTTTGAAAAAATAATTAGGAAAAAAAGAATTTATGATAACTAGTAACTTATAGAAATTAGCAAAATGGATTAACGAAATATTTTTTAAAATTAGCTTAATATGCATACATTATTATTGTGTAGTCTCCAAGTATATAAGAAAGTGTATTATAAAAATAAGAAATTATAAATATCAGGACTTGATTTAATGATGGATAAATAGAACCTACGCCCAGTTCTCAACATATTTCAACACCAAAACTAGACTCAAAAATATTCCCCAAATTTTTTTATGTTTAAATAATAACCCCAAAAAACTTTGAGAAAATGATTCAGACTCATGTAGGGACTCTCGTGAAATTTATGCGTAGTTATTCGAAAGTTGACAAAAATTATATGTAATATGATACTAAAATATTTTCAGGGAGAGCTAAGATAAATTTAGCCCCTATATTTTTTTTAAACATCTATGCTAATAAATGGGCTCTAGTTGTGGGCTTGTGTATTTTTTAGGTATCATTAGAATTCTCGAGAAATTTATTTCTTTAGAGTCAAGAAAAATTTCAAAATGGCGCCATTATCATATGAACTTGATAAAGGCTATAAGTGCTGTATTTAAAAAAAAATTGACGCAAGACTTGAATGGGAAAATATGAGTGTCAAAACTTTTCATAACAAAAATAATTAGATATTAAAAATATTTGAACAATTTTAAGGGGCAAGAAATTATTTCTTATATATGATCCCTTCCTATTATGTAACAAATTCCAAGTGCTCTATTGTGTTTTTGAATAAAATTTATAAATTATTTTTTTAGATTATGGATTGAACACTATCACATAATACTAATATATATATATTATGTATAATATTAATCTCTCTTTATATGAAATAATAATTACTTATTTAATAATACCTCTGCAGTGCTGTCTTATTTGTTTATTTTTAATGTAATTTTATTATCAGGTTTATGACAAAGTAATTAAAATTAGTAGTAGTAAAATTGGCGGTAAACATTGTTTGTTCCATGATTTTAGTAACGCCTCAACAACGACACCTAGTGCTCAAACGGTGTTCTACTATGTTATTATTTAACGAGAAAGCCGAAATCATCATTTTTCTTATAAATTTTATTTGAGTATTTAATTTACAAGTGTTTTATCATTGGATTTAACATTTTTATTAAACGTCTATCGAAGACTGTTTGTTGTGAAGCTATTCACTTAGACTGTATTATCTTCATAGTTTAGCAAGTAATTAAGTAAGTTGACTTCCAATCAATTACTACATATGAATTAAGTCTTGTTTATATTACGATTGTAAAAATACACGTTGGAAAATTATACGTGTTAAAAGGTTTGAATAACTTGGAAACAATAAATTTAACTAATTAGTTTGATATAACGTGAATAATAGGATTTTTTAATATTAAATAATTATATATGTTTTATTAAGATAGAATATTGTATTCATTCAAATTTGATGTGATGATCCTATTTACATTTATTTTTTTATTTTTTAGAATGAAAGATACTCCAGTTGAAAAAGAAGCACAAGATGCTGGGTCTGGCTCTGAAAATGAACCAGAAGAAGAAGAATATTCCGTTGAAAAAATTTTAGACAAACGTTTCAAAAATGGTAAAGTAGAATATTTTTTAAAATGGAAAGGTTATTCAGATGAAGATAACACTTGGGAACCAGAAGAAAATCTTGATTGTCCAGAACTTATTGAAGAATTTGAAGAAAAGTTAAAGCAACGAAAGGAAAAAGAAAAAAAACCAAAAGATACTCCAGAACGTGGACGAAAACGTACTCTATCTAATTCTAATACTTCTGCAACAGATGCAGGTCCTTCAAAAGAACGTAGAAAAGCATCACCGGCTAAAACAAAGACAAATACTGAAGAAGAAGAAACTAAGGGAACTTCAGGTTTTCAACGTGGTCTTGAAGCAGAAAAAATAATAGGAGCTACTGACACTAGTGGCCAATTGATGTTTCTATTAAAATGGAAGGGTGTAGAAGAGGCAGATTTAGTACCTGCTAAAACAGCCAATGTATTGTGTCCACAAGTTGTTATTAAATTTTATGAAGAAAGACTTACATGGCATAGCCCGCAGAACAAAAATGGGGTTTAATTGTATAAGTAGACTAGTAGACGAGTTCTTTATTTATAAAGGGCTCAAAAATATTCTTTTTGAATTTTTATTTAATCTAATTTTATGATATTATGGAAAAAGGTCCCATAAAAAAAAAAAAAACAGTCCAATCTAAGTGTAACTTTTTAAATATTTGTAAGTTTTTTTATAATGTTGTAAAATTCCTTGAAAATAATGAAATGTCAAATATCTACTTTTGTTTGCCTCAAAAACAAAATAGTATTTTAAGTTGTTTACTATGTATTTTTAATGTTGTGATGAAACATTTCAATATTTCTATATAACTATTATTAACATAACGACATAAATTATCTTATACAAGTCTTCTTATGTTATATTAAAACATTCAGTTAATTAGTATAATGCAGTTTTTTTTGTTTATTTTGTTCTTTTCTAATATAAATAAGTGCATTTGTAATTTTTTAAGTTATGGTATTTAATCCTACTATAATGTGGGTTAGTATCTAGATTTGATAACTCGTATTCTTGACTTATTATATATAGATTAATTAAAAGAAAATCTTAGTTATTATTTAATTAATTTGAACAATTAGTTACCATAGTAATTTTTAAAACCTAATTACTAAATAATTAAATATTAATTTTAATCTATCTGATTATGATATAAGTTTTTAAAGCGCATAAATGTAGGACAATAGTAATTTTACTATCAACAATTTTTAGACTAATTTTATACATAATTTGTAGTGCAGATTCCAAATCTGGCTTCAGGTTTTTAGTCATATTATTTTAAGATAGTTACTAATTAGAAATTAAACAATAAAATTATTATATGAACCTGAAAATAAAATTAATTTTCTTAGTTTAATTAACGATGTTTAAATGTATAAAATTTGTGGCTTATCTATCAAGGTTAGCTATTTATAAACCTTGTTTGATGAACATTATTCAGAAAAAGTTTTCACTAACTATTATGGATAATAATTATGAAATTGCTATCAGTTAATACATTACTTTTTTCAAGAATATCAAATTTTTATCTTTTACATAATAAAAAACCCAAAAAAATGAGCTCAAAAACTTTTTCTTTCAAAACTTTAATTGTATACAAGTAAACTATGCAATAGAATATTAAGGTAAATAATTTTTGGACCTGAAATCAAACTAACTGTAAAATTGAGTTCCTGGTGTATAAATATTTTAGTAAATAAGTTTTTTGACTATCAAAAAAGCCAAATAAATACTAGATAGTTTGTGTTAACTGAACCTTTAGAGTTGGGCTCAAAACATCTTTTTCATACTACTTCATTTAAATATAAGTTATACATGGTTGCCATTTTTTAGAATTGCATAACAGGATAATCAATAAGACAAAAAAAACATTGACTGTTATTTTTATTAAATATATTTATTCATAATAAGATATTAAACATAGTTGTTCACAAAGTATTAGTTTGATACATACATATTTATTATAAAACTATTTATCATAGTATACAAAGGCATAATTTGGAAAATTTCTGTGGGAACTATAGTACTATACTCTATTAGTTGGATTGGGTTATAGTCTGGGTAATTTACTTGGTGGGTTGCTTTTTTACCATATTATTCCTTGTCACCAGACTAAAAATAAGAGAGGAAGATAGACTCCAAGGTCTATCTATAATTGAAGCTAAATTGACTAATGTTTTTATAGCTCAATATTTCATAATTTAGATAAATTCGAATAATAATTTACTTATAGGGTTTCCTAAAAATAATCCTGAGGCTAATTAAATACAGCTAGATTAGTTCTGAGAGTCCTGTGTGGTTCTCCCCATCCTTTCCAAAAAACATTTAACTATTGGGTGGTAAGAATGTAATTCCAACAAAACAATGCAAATTATGCCACTCGTAGAATAAATTTTAAAGTTGGTTTAATGTTACAAATGACTACATAGAAGATTATAGTATATATATATATATATATATATATACAGAGAAATTGTTAAATTATTCCTCACACAATATCTTTAAAATATAAAACACAATATAATTTTAAAGAAGACTTGATTTTATTCCCTTAATAATACTAATATTTTTAAAGATATTGAGTGAATCTAAGTTATAATCAGCCTGTATATATACAGAGGGGTTAACAAGTTCTAACATCTTTAATAACTTTTCATTTAGAAAATATTATGAGTCAATTTTTTAAAAAATAATTTTTACAATTTTGAACATGGTCAAAGCATATTTTTTTTATTATTTGTCTCCAATAAGAAAAAAACTTAAATGATTTTTTTTTTTAAATAGCAATATTTTAGCCTTTTTATAAAAAGTATTGAAGGATTGATAACAATTTAGTTATTAAGTGACAAACATTTTATCACATACTCATTCTATGTATTAAAATATTTATAACTTAATAAGTACTTATACAAAAATTGTTATCAACCCTTCAAAATTTTTTGTAATAAAATATTTCATTTGATTTTTATATTGGAGATAAATATTAAAAAATATGCTTTTAATACTCTAAACTGTAAAAATTATTAAAAATAAAAATGAAATTGTATCAAAATTTATAAGAGTTGTTAGTTAGAACTGTTCCACTCTATATATAAATATATAATTTAAATAAGCAATAATTTATATTACATCAACTGCCAAAAATAACTAAGAATTTCAATTAAGCAAATAATTATTGCAAAAATGATCATAATTGTTTATTTAATTAAATAAAAATATATTTACATGTTATATTAATAATACTAATAGGAACTTAATTAAAAAAATCTTAAATAATTTTTAGATAGTGTAAAACTTCATTTGGCACTTAAATATAAGTTATTTTTAATAGGAATATTCTGAGAACAAAAAAAAAAAAAAATCAAAAGTTAATGTATTTCATTAAATGGCTAAGGGTTCATATTTTACAATACAATACATAAAATTATATTATTAGACTTATAAATTATATTAACTCAAGTATAGTTTATAAATTTCTATGTAAAATATATATAAAAATAAAAACAATAAAATCAAAATATAAAAAAAATGATTAAAGATAATTTTTATAACATAGTGAAACCTTGGTTGCATGATAATTAAATATGGGAGTATAATATTGTACATATATCTATAAGTTATATATTTTATTTTAGTTAATGTAAAAATGTTTAGTAAGTCTTAAACCTAATATTTTTTTCATAGCTTAACATTACTAAACATTTTTTAGTTAATGCCACTTGCCTTTCTGTGCAAATATATCAGCACGGAGATTTTGTGCAAAGCATATTCCTAAAATCTGAAATAAAAAAATGGTGTTCTTTTAATTTAAGAAACTAATTAGCTAATAGCTTAGCTGTCAAAGCTGTAGATAAATTTTAAAAATTGGTAGTTATTCAAATTATCTAGCTTTAATTTATATTAATTAACTCAAACTGTATATTTCAATAAAAATATATTCAAGTAATAAAGCTAAATATTAAACTCATGGAATAACAACACTTAAAACTTCAAGAAAAAATTTGTATTTTTAATTAAATCAGAACATGCAAATAAAATACTTTTAACTACAATTCTGAATAAAAAAAATTATAAAATTTTCAAGGTTTTATTTATAGAATTTTTGATATCAATACAAATCAGTTTAAAAATTCTTTAATAAAAACTTACTTTACAGAAAGCTGAAATAAGACAAACAGTTGCTATAAAAAGCATATTTCTTTCTAACCAATTTTCACCAGCTTGTAAACAACCTCTTTCATTTATAATCATATCTATTCTTTTTCCAAAATCATCATTCTATATCAATTCATAATCAAAAAATTGAAAAAAAAAAAATCATGGCAAATGTTTAATTAACGCAGAATTACTTACAAGTTATTTTTAAATACATGCTTAAAAAGCAGATAAGCACATGCAAGGTTAAGTAGCTTAAGCATCTTGTAATACCTGTATAATTGTAACAGCCATAACTGTTGTTAAGACACCTATAAAATTATCTTCAACCCATTCTTCAGCAGCCCGCATGCAACCCCTTTCATAAATATTTCTTTCACCTGTTTGAGTAGGCAAGTTTAAACTTGTCCATTTTTCAGCATACTATAAATGCCGATTACATCATTAGTATAAGCATGTAAATTATTCCAGTTAAAAATAATTCTCAGAAAACTTTAAGTATATATCAAACCAAAACTGCAATCATATTTGTTTAAAGAAATATGAATGAAGATAATTCAAAAACTTAATAAATAAGTAAATTTAATTTTAAAAAAAAACCCAGCACAGTGGTAACGTAGAATATTTGGATCAAGTATAATGATATCTGACAGTGATTAAAATCACAATAAAAAAAAAAGTTCCGATGCAAATCTTTAGATAGTATTTAATTTAAAAAAATTGGTGGATTATTCCAAAAGCTACATGATCTCTTATTTCCTTAATTATATCCAGATTAGTAATTCTTAGATTCAAAAAATATAATTTTTTAATTATATATTATATAATTTTTATAATTATTTTCAAATTATTATTGATTTTGATTTTTAATATGTTAAAAGTAATCATTTCCTTATTTATATCCTAATTACAAGTTTTATGATTTATAAGTGTAATATATGTATAAATATTATACCAATAAATATGGAATGAAATTGATATTTAATAATTTATTATAGTAATTTTTATAGAGAAATTATAAAGTAGTTATTACTTTTATGGCAAACGTATATAAAAGTTGAAGGTCTTGAACATAACCTAACTATGTTAGTAAATATGCAAAAAATTGTATGAAAAAAGTGATAAAATATTAATAAAAATGAATGTTAGAAATTTGTTTGCTAACTGTAAAATATAATTTACACTTACAAATCCTTCTTTTCGGACATCATATCCACATTGTTTGTTTTCAACAATCTCCTAAAACATAAGTTTTAGTATATTTTAATATACAAACATCAATGTTTGTTATACTAAATATTTAATTTATAAAAAAATGAATAAATTATTTATAATTAGGCTCAGAGATGTAGTAGCACTTTATAGTTAAAAAAAAGTACAACAGTGTTAAAGTGATAAAAATTTGTCTTGAATTTTATTAATTTCTGATAATAATTTTCTATATTAACATAAATAATAAGGACAAAACATTTTTTCATTTTTAATAAAAATAGAAAGATAAAATATTGGTGTGTGTCATGGTTTTTTTTATCATTATTAGCTGATATTTTGCTAGATATAAAAACAATAATATTTTGTTGATACAATGGATTAAAAATAAATATCAACCAGTAATATTCTTAATTAACTAATTTTCTAATATAAACCTAATTGTTAATTATCTAATATTAATTTATTTAATATTCATAGTTCCATTAAAAAAATCCAGTTTAATAACCTCATTAGGCATCAAGGATATCTAATGATAGATAAATTGTGAAAAATTTGTAATTAAAAAAAACCCAGCACAGTGGGGACATGGCATAGTTGGGTTTAGTATTTATTTAATCTGACAGTGATTAAAATCGCTATTATAAGAAATGCTTTGATGCAAATCTATAGATAGTGTTTCATTTATAGAAATGAGTGGATTATTCCAAAAGCAACATCAACTCTTATTTCTTTGATTATATCCAGATTAGTAATTCTTAGATTCAAAAATATAAAATATAATTTTTTAATTATATATTATATAATTTTTATAATTGTTTTCAAATTATTATTGATTTTGATTTTTAATATGTTAAAAGTAATCATTTTTAACCTACTTTTTTTTTGTGAAAGTTTATAATAAAGAAAAAATAAATTTACTGCCATAACTTTTAGCTCAATTTGCAAGTTTGAAATTGACATCATTAATTATTGAAAAATGGTATTGTTAAAATTAATATGGAGTCAGCAAATTTTATAACTACTATTTACGGTAAATTTATCAGAAAAGCTTGATTTTTTTTTGCATTTTTTTGTAATAGATCACTTAAATAGAAATCATTTCTAATTAACTTTTGGTGTTAAATAGATTTTACAATTGAAATATGCAGAACTGAATTAATTATAATAATTTTCTTTAACTAATAAAACCCATGAAAAAATATATATTTTCTTTATCTTTAAATTAAAAATAACCCTGATATTGCCTAGTATTTCACTACACATATAGTTTTACATACCTTTACAGTACATCTCCATAGTATATTAAAATAACATATATTTGGCAACTATCATGTTCCATTAAGTAAGTTAATAAATTAAACATTAATATAATAATGTATACTTATTAAGTAAAAAATGTGGAAAAGTATTTTAACTTTGAATTTTGATGATAAATACATTGGGAAATCAAATTATGTCTAGTTGAAGACATTATTCTCTAAAATTGAAAAAATTTCTTTAATATTTTTGTAAGTATAAATATTTAAAAAAACCATAGCACAGTGAAGTAGCAGCATAGTAAAGTTGGGACAAGTATAGATGATATCTGACAGTGATTTTAATAACTGCTATAAAAAATGCTTCAGTGCAAATCTGTAGATAATGTTTAATTCTAAGAAATTGGTGCATAATTACAAAAGCAACATCAACTCCTATTTCCTTAATTATATTGTGACTAGTAGTTTTTAGATTTAGAAGTATAATTTATAAATAAATATTTATTGTAGGCTATACTTTATAGCAATTAAATATAGTATGCAATTAATATTTAATAATTTAATATTGTAGTTTTTATTTAGAAATAATAAAAAATGATAAAGATTGTCACTTCTATAGCAAACATGTATAAAAATTAAAGGTTTTAATGCAATACTTTATGAAAACAATTTTATTTTTACTTGTGAATACGTTAGTTTCAAGGAACTTTCATTGGTATCAAAAATATACTTTTCTAAATTAACTTTCCGCACTGTTTTCAAATCTAAAATTTGTAACTTGTAATTTATAACTGTAAATTTATCAGAAAAGCTCAATATTTTTTTTGCATTTTTATTGCAATAGATTTCTAAATAACTTTTGGTGTTTAAAAAGATTCTACAATTGAAATAATCAGAACTTCACTAATTATAATGATTTAATTTATTAAAAGTACCAATCAAAATGTTGTAAAAAAGATCTTCTCAATTGAGTGCATTATAAAATTTGATTATAATTGTAAACATCCATTGTTAAATTGATGTGAAACTAAAAATCTTTTTTTTTAGATTTATGATTCATATATATATATATATTTAAAATTTGGAATGTTATAGACTGATAGTAGCACACATAAATAGAGTTAAAAAATTAACAAATTACAAAGTAAAATTATTTACTTTTGTAATTGAATACTTTTATGATATCAAATTTAATTTGACAATAAATACTTTAAAAATATTAGAAATTAATGACTTTAATTGTTTGTATGGATAAAATTGGTTAAGCTACTTTTTATTTAATTAAGGGATTTTTTTTTCAATTTTTGAGGGTAATATCTTTAATAAAATACGCATTGTAATCATTTGATATATCGTTGAAAACAGTAGGTTAAGTGAGGGTTGGAAAAATAAATCATAGCCACATAAAAAAAACGCATAATAAAATAATATTAATATGAATGAGAAATTTCTGCTCATGAGGGGAGACTACAGTGATGTAGTGTGATTCTTGATATTTATTGAAGTTAATGAATCTAAATGAGATAAAAATCAAATGATTTGAAAGTTTTTTCTAACTTAAAAAAAATGCAAAATATTAATTGCTACAGGGGGATTCGAACCTGGTACCCTAACCATGAGAGACACAAGTGTTACCGATTCGGAAACTATTCGTCAATTAATAAAATTTGCAATTTAAGCTAATATAAATTTTTAAGTTACTTTTTCAACTTTAAAAAAGCAAAAAAATTTAAATAAGTTTAACTTCTCGTGTCTTATGAACTTTATTCTATGTCAAATAAATTATATAATATTCATGAAAGTCAGTGTATTCCCCTTGTAAGATATTTTAAAATAAAATAAAATACAAAACTCAGAATTTTAACACAAAAATAGAATATTTTTGAATACGGTAGCCATTTTCACCAAGAAGAAAATCTATATTTCGAATTTTTCTTTTTTCATAGTAAAATATATAATATAATCTTTAATTTAAAATTAAATAAGTGTCAATATTTCCGGAATATTTTCAAAAAATTTAATTGAAAAAGCTTAACTTATGTGCAAAAATTGTTTTTTTGAATTCTCCCTGAGAGCAGGTTTATTCTGATCTTCAAAAAATTTACCAAACGCCCATTTTCCTATAAAAGAAAAGGTGTCAGGACAAATTTTATTTTTTGAACTTATAGTATTTATTGTAAACTTTAATTTGAAATATGTTTAAAGGACGCAGTATTTCCGGAAAGTTTTTAAAAGTTAAGTTGAAAAAGTTCTACTTTTTATACGTTTGTTTCTAGTTTTGAACGCTCTCTGTACAAAGGGAAATCGTCCAATTTAAATAAAAAGTATGTTAAATGAAAGAGGTATATATAATGTATTTAGAAAAAAAAAAATTGTGTTGATACATACATTTTTCTAAGTTATAGCAATTTAAACTTGAAGATATAAAATCGAAGATTAAAAATTTTAACACAAAAATAGCATGTTTTTACCTACAGCAACTATTTGTACATAGAAAATAAGTCGCTGGGACAAATTTTTTTTTTCATTTTATAGTACATGACAAGAGCTTTAATTTGATATATGTTTAAAGGACGCACTATTTTCGGAACAATTTCAAAAGTTAATTTTTGTAAAAAATTTGCTATTTTTAATCCTCTCCTGTGAGCAGGTCTAGTGTTAAATTTTCAAAAACTGATATCAAATGAAAGGGAAAAATCTAAGGTTTCAATATAAAAATAAATTTTGTTGATTTGTTAATTAATAAAAAAATTATAGTAGTTTTATGAAAAAAATGATGAAATTTACCAATTTTAAAAATTGTAATTTTTTGGGAAATATAGCCCATTTACAGGGAACGAAGGAAATTTTTTCAATTTTTAAGAGTAACGTCTTCAACTAGATATGATTTGTGATTATTTAACATATTGTTCACAAAATTGGTCCAGTGAGAGCTGAGAAAAAATGGCAATAAACACACACACAAAAAAAAAAACACATGAAAATAAAATTAATACCTTTTCAGCTTTACATCAAAGTCAAAAATAAAATTCTAAAATTTTTTTTAAATGCAAGTAATTGAGAAACTTTATAAATACAAAGCGACTCTTTTATCATGATCCATTTAATTGATGGATACAAAAATATTATTAACTTCAAAATACTGGTCCAAAAATTATTATTAATACTTGAATTGTGATACTTCAATAAAATAGATAAGTTGGTCATGTTGATAGTATACTTTATAAATAAAATTTTTTTAATGTACAAAACAGTTTAGAACTCTTTTTAGTAACAAAATCTCTTATTATTTTATTTCAAAGTTTTTAATAATTTGAATGTTTGTATGTTTACTAAACAGAATATTATACTTTGTCATAAATACTTTTAAAAAAATATTAATTTTATGACTACTTACATTAGGTTTTCTTTTACAGCATGAAAATGGAACTCCACAAGCTTCACGACTTCCAACCATTTGAGAAGAACAATTAAAATAATTATTCAAATCCCAATCTTCGGGACCTTTGATTCCACAACATTGTAACTAAAAGGTATTCAAGTATTTTTAGAAATAACAAAATATAATTATGAATTAATTTATAATAATGTTTATTAGTTAAATTAATGTACAAAATTACACACCCAATCTTCTTGAATCCAATCAATAAGATTTTGTTGATCAGGATCTTCTCTGTAATGCACAATAAATGTTTGAAGACCTTCAGTAGCTTGGGATTTTATCTAAAAAAAATATCTCAATTTTAACATACAATCTTTAAAATAAAAGAAAAATGTATACACTTACAGTATCCTTAAAAATAAAAGTTAACACTCCAGCAGTCAACTCTAGTATTAATATAAAAGCTAATAAAACTGCATACTGAAAATAAGAGAAAAATTTCATTTAAAAAACATTGATTATTTTTTTAGAATAAAATACCCGTCTGAAAATGCATGGTCTATGTATCATATTTTTTATGGTTTCGTGAGTTATATTTACTAGGAATGAGAAAATTTTTAAGAATAATGTCTTTAATTAGATACTGTACCATGACCTCACTGTGCTACTGTTTTTTTTTCGTGTCTGTCACTACTTTTTGTTTCTACTCTCACAGAACCAAATTGTTCAACAATACATCAAAAAATTACTAATTATATCTAGTAGGAGACATTACTATCAAAAATTGAAAAAATTTCTCTAGTTCCCAGTAAATAGGGTATACCCCGAAAAATTATCATTTATAAATCTATAAATTTCGATAATTTTAAACTTTTTTTCCTTAAAATTGTCATAACTTTTTTAAAAATGAAAGAATCTAAACAATTTTTTTTATAAATACCTTTGATGGTTCCTTTTCATTTTATATAATTTTTTTGAAAATCTAATCATTTATCTGTCCACAGGAAGGGATTTAAAATAGAAACTTTTTAAACTTAAATTTTGAAAATGTGCCATAAATACTGTGTTCATTAAACACATGTTAAATTAAAAATTAAAAAAAAAATTTTACCTTGACAACTTATTTTATATGTGCAATTGTAGTTAAAAAACATACAATTTTTAGGTTAATATTTTCAATATTTAATATTTGATTTTATATTTTCAATTTCAAATTATTATATCTTATTGAAAAATGTATGTATCAATACAATTTTTTTATGAAACTACTTTATATAAACCCTTTTCATCTAACATGCTTTCTTTTTTTTAATCAGATCATTTCCTTTTATACAGGGAAGGTTCAAAACTTGAAACATACAAATTTTAAGTATAACTTTGCAACTTAACTTTTGTTAATTGAATACTCCGAGCTTTAAACACATGTTAAAGTAAATCTTATGTTTAGTACTATAAGTTAAAAAAAAATTTAAAAATACCTTATAAGAGTTTACCATAGTAATGAGTCCACCAATAAATACAAAATTTAAATGAATCTAACTTACATTAAATATAAATTTATACTTATTTTGATTATTTTACCTTTTTAAAGTTAATCGACTTATTTTCTATAAGCAATTGGCAGTCGAAGTAGAACAAGTAATAGGAATTAATTTTGCTTAAGGAATGATCCACCAATTTCTTAAAATTAAACACTAACTACAGATTTGCTTTAATTTAACATATATTTAAAGCTCAAAATATTTCCATTATCAAAAGTTAATTTGAAAAAGTTTACTATTTACACGTATGTTTCAAGTTTTGAACACTTTCTGTATAATGGGAAATAATATTATTTTAAAAAGAAATATGTTGAATAAAAGAAAAATACATATAAAAAAGTTTTAGGAATATAAAGCTAAAATGATAAAATATGAAATAAAAAATTTTAATAAAAAAAAAACATGTTTCTTAACTAAGGCAGTCATTTTCTCATAGATAAGTCATTGGGAATTTTTTTTTTATATAAGCTTTAATTTATCATATATTTGAAGCTCAGAGTATTTGTATAATATTTCTAAAAGTTGAAAAAGTTACTTCAAAAATGTGAAAATTGCTCCTGTGGTCATATAAAAGGTCAGATTCTTAATGAAATATACATAGTAATATGGAATTTCCAAAGGTATTAAAAAATAAATACTCAGCAAAGGGGGGTCATGGCACAGTGGTGCCGTGGTATAGTTGGATCAAGTATAATGATATCTGACAGTGATTAAAATCACTATCAAAAATAAACGCTTCGATGAAAATCTTTAGATTGTGTTTAATTTTAAAAAAATTGGTGTATTATTCCAAAAGCTAAGATAAAGTATGTCGAATGAAAAAGGGATTATTAAAATATATTATTTCTCATAAAAAAATTGTGTTGATCCATACACTTTTCAATAAGTTATAGCATTATAAAGTAAAAAATGTAAATTANGAAAAAATTGTATTGATCCATACATTTTTTAAAAAGTTATAGCATTATAAAGTAAAAAATGTAAATTATAAAATCGAGAATTTTCACACAAAAATTGAATTCAGTAGCCATTTTCACTATGAAGACAAGTCCAGAATTCAAATTTTTTTTTTAAAATTAAAGTATATTACATTAGCTTTAATTTAAGATATATATAAAAGTGTCAGACCTTCCGGAACATTTTCAAAAGTTAAGTTGAAAAAGTTAATTTTTTGTGAAAAAGTTGTCATTTTAAATCCCCCCCTGTGGGCAGAAAAAAGGTCAAATTTACAAAAAAAATATACCAAATGATAGGAAAAGACATCAAGCATCTATAAAAAAAAAATTATATTAATATGTCTATTTTTGAAAAAGTTACAGCAGTTTTTAGTAAAAAAAATGGAAAAAATTTCGAAAATTAGCGATTTTTAAATTTGTAATTTTTTTGGAGGTTTCCCCCATTTACAGGGAACGAGGGAAATTTTTTCAATTTTGAAGGGTAATGTCTTCGACTAGATACGATTTGTGATCTTTTGACGTATCGTTGAAAGAAATCCGTTCGGTGAGAGCTGAGAAAAAGTGGTAACAGACACAAAAAAAAAAAAAATAAACACATCATAGTAAAACCAATACCTTCTCAGCTTCGCATTGAAGCTAAAAAAGTTGATTGTTAAAATGTCTTTTAAAGACTTTGCAAGCTAATTGACTCATGAGAAGTTATAATATTTTCATGAAAGTTTTAATAAATATATAATATGTCTTAATAATAAACTATTTAAATTACATTTATTTCAATACTGTGCATATAATACTGTTAATGTTAATCACTAAAAAGTAAAAATATTAATTTGAGGAATTTTTAAATTCATTGATTTATATAAAATATATAACTTACAGTTCCTAATAAACAAGTATTTTCACGTAGTGCACCGATACATCCTGTAAAACCTATTATAAATATAATTCCACCTAACACAAATAAATTAAGATTTTATTATTAGAAGTGGATAAATTAATAGATTATATGTATTTACCAAGAAAAATCAGGGCAAATGCAGGATCAAGTGCCAAATGTGTAAGTTTACCAAGATTATTGAAAACATTTTTTTCTGTCCATGCCCAGACACCAATTGCCATGATAGATAGTCCAAACATCTATTTAACAACAATATTTAAACATAATTTTCTATCAATTTTAAACATACATACCCAAAATAACACATTACAACTAAATATAATATATTTCAAACAGCAGCTGACTTCACTAACTTCTTCTCGTCTATACTTTTGTTGAATTGCCATTATTTTAGTTCGATGTAATAAATTAGTAATGTCTTTTAAGTTGTCACGGAGTGTAAATAACTATACAATTTTAAAAATAAATAATGTTGTTTTTATTGTTTTCTTTATAATAAAAATGTGTACATTTTGTCATAAATTTTCATTTGTCAAATTTATAAAAGTATAACAAATATATAATTCATTTGTTTGATATCCTCATCAAGAATGTGAGGATTTTTAATAAAACAATTTTACAATGAAAATCACAATAGCTATTATCAATCTAATTGATCACAAGAGATAACAATAAAAAGAAGTTGTTAATTACCACATTTCATTATTTAGGGTAACCAACGTGCATCTGCAAAAAAAGCATTGTAAAATGATAATAATTTTCTAGTTAGAATGATAACAAAAACACGTGGGATCTTTCAAAGTATTGTTGATTAGCGTTTTTTATTGAATTATTTTATTAAACTTAATGCTCTGTCCGTTTGTTTGAATTCAATAAACCAAAAAATAATAAAAGTTATTCATTGTTCAATGATTCAACTATCAACATGTAAAGTGTCTTATTGTATCATTAAAAACGTATTACTTATTATTTGAAAAATATACTGTTTATCTATAAATGACAATTTTATTTTTTAGAAGTTTTTTTTTTTAATTAACAAACGTTTTTTACTCATTAATTAAGTATGTATTATTAAATTAATGTAGTATTATTACAATTTAATTTTAATAAAGTCAAATTTTGTCTGAACTTTCTCTAATTGCAGACTGTGATTTGACGGAATCTATAATTGAAAATTTTTAATGTTCATAATTTATCTAACATTAAAAAAGAACGTATTCTTATAAAATATTATACATTTTTTTAATCAACTAGAACTAAATAAAAAATAGATAAATACTTTTTTATATAAATATTTCATTGTTGTTTTAGACATAATATTAAATAATGAACATCCAAAATATGTATCATTCAGATATACAACCTTCATATCAAGCACCATCACCATATCAAGGACAATTGTATCCTACATGTCATAGACCTTTACACCCACCACCTCAGCAATTTGGATCAAGATTTCAACTACCTCAGCAGCAATACTCCAATTCTCATTCTAATTATCAACCATCAAATCAACAAAGTAGTCCTCATTGTCCAAATTTTTCCATGAGCCCACCACCACCTCAACCTTACTACCAATCTTCTGGTTTTGATCAAGTTCAATCTTGTACAAATTTTGAAAATTTACCACCAAGTCTTCCTTATCAACCTATGCAAAGTCCTAATTTTAATCAGCCGCTATCACCTAGGCCTAATTTTAGTCAAGTTCATCCACCTGGCTCTAACTTCAATCAGGTATCTTCACATGGAACAAGTTTTAGTCAAGTAACTCAAACTATACCTAACTTCAATCAATTCAAACCTAATTTCAATGAACCACCTTTATTAAGACCAAATTTCAATCAAATTCCACCACCAAAACCAGTTTTCAATCAAGGATCTTCATCAAGATCCACTTTTAATCAAGACTCAGTACCAAGTCCTGTTTTCAATAAAGGACCAATACTAGGTCCTAACTTTAACCATGCACCACCACCACCAATTGGTTCTTTCAATTTACCATTGAGTCAGAGTTATGAAACATCTTGTAATCAATATTATCAACCCCCTAATCAAGTATCATCTCAACAGTTTTTTAATAAATCTTTGAACTTTGGTTATAATACTTCTAATAAATTTAATCCACCTCATGGACAAAGTTGTCCTCAATTTCAATCTAGGTGTGAACCATCTAATCATCAATATCCATATCAACAAAATTCTACACAATATTTACCTAGACAAGAATTAAGCCAACCAAAAGCAAATTTTAGAGCTCCTGGAAAATATAGGTGTCTTACTAAAAATAAATTTTCTTCATCACAACAAGACTTTCTAAGAAATAAGTTCCACCCTAAACAACAATATCAAAATTGTAATATGACTGGTATAAACTTTAATAATAAAGAAAAAAGTGATGGTTTTTTAAAAAAAGACAAAGTACAAATTGCATGCAATAAAGGTGACTGTGATTTTGTTGGACACGCTAGTGCTGTAAAAGAACATCAAAATTTACACCATAGATTTGGTTTACATAAAAAGGTATTGTATAGTAATAGTTCAGATGCAGTAAAGAGATGGATCGAAGAAAGAAAAAAGTAAGTTAATTATTATTATATATTTAATAAGAAAACTAAAAGAATGAACAATGAAATTTTTTTGTTTTTCAAACAATTTATTAGAAATTGGCCAACTAAAGAAACTGCTAAGTTGAAGTTAGAAATACAAAATGAAAAAGTTAAAAGAGGAGAACGTATTGCTGATGAAGATTTCAACAGGTTCAATAATAAAAATGACAAATTAAACCGAAATGGTATTTAAAAAAATTCAAGTTTTTTAATATTAAGTGACATTTTAATTGATAAATGAAATTGTTTTGGATCATGCTCTAAATAATGATAACGATAAAATAGGGATATAATTTTTAACTCAACATTCAAGTTATAATAATTATGAAAAAATTAATAAAAATTGTGGGTGTTTTTATTTTATAATTAAAAAATATGTCTTCATTAAATAGACTTATATAAATAATTTAACTGGTAAAGTTTTAGTTGAGGTAAAAAAACAATATTTGATTACGCTTTATTAATTTTATGACCACTTAATATTTTTAAGTAATTTACTTCCAGCATTACTGTGAAAAATTAGCAATGTCTGAAATATTTTAATACCTTTAGTTGCTATTTATTATACAATTGTTTGGTGAATATATATATTAATATGTCTATGTTATTTTACTTTAGGATCTGGACGTCTTAATAATAGAAAAAGAACAAAATTTGAAAATGCCTTTGTAGAGCATTTAGAGGAACCAATGAATGGAAACCTGAAGCGTTTTGCTGGAATCAATGGTAATTTTCGGTTTAATGCGTACACATAGCTTAACACTTACTTAAAACATATTTATATGTCAATTTTCATTAGTTAAAAAATTTCTCAGTAAAAATAGAGGAATTATAGTTTTTGGTAAAATATCAATAATTCAGTGCAATATTTGTAATAACTAAAAATGGGTTGTTGTGGTAGTATTTATAAAAGTAAAGAATGATAATAGCATTGTTTGTAATGAAATAGAAAATACAATTACCTTGATTTCTAATTATTACTTTATTATCGTAGTTAGTGTGTTAAAACTATTCTTACCTGATATCCTTTGATAGAATACTGTCATTTGTGTTACGGAAACTGCTTTTATGATGCTGAGTGAAATAATTTAATATATTATATATCAATATTGTAAATATATATTAATACTGATACCAATATGTAAAAATTCAATAACACCCAATAATTTTTCCAATAACTTTCTGAGGCTAAAAAGGTTAATCTTCCTAGACACTCTTTTATCATCTCAAATCACTCATAAAAATTCTGTAAGAATTTTTTTATGATATGTTTAGCCACAACCTCAGAAGTAAAAAGGTTATTCATGTATTGAAGAAAAAAACTTTTCTTAAAAGTTCATAATACATTTTTTGCAGTATCAAAATTATTTTGCTTCTTAGAGAAGAAACAATTAATGTATTAAAAAAATGTAAAATGTTGATAAAAAAAGTCAATAACAAAGAGCATGTTAGGTTTAAAAAAGTATATTTCTACTTCATTATAATATGATCCTTCATACCATAAGCATAAGTTACTTGACTTATGCAATTATAACCTTATTTTATATCTACTACATTATTCACACCTCATTGCCCGTTTCTAAAATTACAAATTCACTTGGATAGATAACACTTTAATATAATGTATAGTAAAAAATTTTTTTTTGTTACTAATTCCAAAAGTGAAAGAGTTTAAGTTTTTTTGAATTTAGTTTTTTTTTATAAACTAGGGTAACTAACTTTTAGTACAACCTCCTTTGTAGAATAAAAAGTCTAGTTTCCCAAACATTTTTTTTTCTTACTATATCTGTGTTTTATTTCAATTTGTCTTAAAATCATATATTGTAAATTTAATTATACACATCTTTATTAATGCATTATATGATAATGATTTTAATCAAGGATAAAGTAAAAGGAATACAAAAAGATTTAATCCTCTTACCTATCACCATGTTTGATATGCATTCTTATTAAAAAATATTTAAAATAAATATTTCATATGGATACTTGGAATGCTCAAAATTACATAGTGGTAATAGTACCAAATTAAATTTTTACATTTAAATTTTTGTCCAATCTAAGCCTTGATTTTAGTTATTGTTACACTTTTTTTATTTATAATGGTTCCTATTATATCAGGGCTTGACTGATTTTTAATTTTATTTTTATACAGAAATGTTATAAAACGATAATAATATGTAAATAAATCACCAGATAAACTTTATATTTTAGATGTTTTGATTAAACAATTAGAAGATTTATCTAACAATGAAAAAAGCAAATTGGGTTCTTTAAAATTACTAGAAGAGTATGAATTCAGTGATAATCATAGTGATGATGAGCCCCCTGAAGAAATAACTATTATTAAAAAAACTACAACTATAAATGAGCCTTTAATAATAAAAGAAACTAATACAGTGTCAAGCTTAGAATCTGTAACATTTAGTGCCATAGAAAATATTGAATTAAATAAAAGTGATCAAGGAGATATTAACATTGATTATATTAACAAAACAAAAATAGAAACTACTTCATCAAATATTTCAGTAACAAAAAGTCCAGGAAAAAACATTTTATTAGAAACAACAGCTGAAAATGTGTCTATGGAAAAACTAGTAAATAATAATTCTATAGAAAAATCAGTTGAAAATAGCACTCTAGAATTTCAAAAATATGAAAATAATCAAAAACGAAAAAGACAGTCTAAAAAAGAAAAAAAAAATGTTAAAATAAAACAACCCCCTAGAACTCCTAGAAATGAAGTTATGGAAAGAAAAGCAGCACTTCTTGAAGCAGTAAGTTTAATAAATTATTATTATCATCTTAATTAATTAACAAAAAATTATACATTTATTCTTTTAATTTTAAATAAAGAGAAAAGTATCCAAAAAATAATTAGACTAGAATTTTTAGAAATAAATTTAAATAGGATGAAGTGGAGAATTGTAAATGAATTTTTTTTCAATACTAAGGTTTTTCTTTTGAACTTACATTTAATATCATTTTAATACATGTAATGACCAGAACTTTTTAATTTAAAATAAAATATTATTCTAAATATTCATAGCTTTTTAACGCAAATAAGTTTTTAACTTGAAGATGTTCAATTTCCAAAAAAAAAAAAATGTTCTATACACTTGAAATAATATACCCAACCTTATTTTTATCAGTTAATTGATTTTACCTACCTATGTGAGATTAGAAATAAATTGTATTAATATAACAATATATTGTATTGTTATACAATATAATAAATCTAATAATATTTAATGAAAGAAAAACAATTATTATTTTAATTGTTAAAACAATTCCAACTTTTAACACTTTTTTAATTTATAACCTTTAAATTATTAACAATCAGTATAAAAATAAGTTATATTTAAGTAAAAAAACAAAGCAATACTCTTTTATTTAAAAAATTTCAATTTAGCAATGACTACAACTGTTAATGTGCACATAAGCAAATGAGAAACAAGTTTATACTATTTATTAGTATTTTTTTTTATTGAAAACATTGTATAGGAGAGAGAACGAAAATAGAACAGTTAGTGACTAACACGCCTTGAAAATGAGATAATGCACATTAGCCACTGCTACAATACTGATTCTTTTATGACGTCCCTCTAAAAATAGATAAGATTTTTTAATTACTAAATTTAATTGCTTCCTTCCCAAAAATATTTATATATAGTATTTATAATTTTTCTATATTTTCAAGATGATTTAACCTTATTAAATCATTTAGTATAATTTAAACTAACTGCATTCTATGAATTTATTTTCTTTGGTTCTAACTTTTGACTCCTAGCAAGTAATTACCTATATTTTAGCATTTATAGTTTGGTAATTAATTCAATATACTTACACTAAGAATAACTTAAAATTATTTAATTAATCCATTTTGGTAATCTGCTGAATTTCCCATTTAACATTATACTAATTGTAGTTATTAATTTTCAGCTCATGGGTAATCTGATGAGAAGTGAAAGAAATACTATTACACAATGTATTTGTTATATAAGGAACAATATGCATCGTTTCATACAAACTCAAACAACTTAGTTAATATTTGATTGTTTTATATCAAAAGAATATTTGTAACACAATATAAAGAGTTCTCATAATATAAAGTAAATTAATTTTTATTGCAAGTGTATATTTTTTTCATTATTGACATAATTTTGAATAATATAAATTTTATTTTAAATTTTTTCAAGTATCTTTAGTCAGACGAAAATATTTACAAATAAATCCTGATGCTAATCATCTATTTAACTATATATGAATTGTAGATTTTTTTATTTACACCTTAACATATACATGATATTTTTCTTTTTTCTCATCAAAAGTAAATTCATCATATCTAAAATATTATGAAAATTGTATTATTGTTTGATGTATTTTTTAATTAAACTAGTTAAGTTTATACGTAGTTACAGAGACATTTATTTAGCCTAGTCAATGAGTATTTTATTTTTTTAAAGAAAATTTTCATTTTTATATTTATATAAGTACAAGCTGTTATTACAAATAAATAATTGTGTTTAAAATATTCAAGATTACAAATATATTTCTTTTTTAAAGGTATGTAAATTAAATTTAAATTATTTTAATATCAATATTGTTGGTTATGTTATTTAAATAAATTGAGTTATTTGTAAATTAAATCATGTTATTATTATTGTTAATGAATAGTGAACTTCTATTGGGTATTTTACTTTATTTTCTAACATTCAATTTGAGGCGCATAGAACCAAAACAGCTTAACCCACTAATATGAAATTATGCAAGACGGACAGTTAAAGTTTTCACTATTTTTCAATGTATTAAATTAATCTTAAAAAAAATAATACACTTTCACCTGTACTAATCTTTGCCTTTTATACCGTCTATAATGAATTAATTCTCTTAAAGTTAGTTAAGTATTGATGGATTAAGCAACTCTAGATATTGATAAATTTATATTAAATGCAATATTTAGTGTGTAAATCCGACATATTGATAATGTTTTATTTACTTAAATATAATATAATAATTAATTAATTGACATAAAATATACATAATCTATATATATATTATATAATGATATAATTACATAGTTATAAAAATGGTAGCACAGAGGCGACGTACCATAGTTGAGTCAAGTATAGACGATAACTGAGAAAGATTAAAATCACTATCATAAGACACGCTTGGATGCAAATCTGTAGATAGTGTTTAATTTTAAAAAATTGATGGATTATTCAAAAGGCAAAGACTTCCTTATTTATATATTCGTTACAAATTTTATGATTTATAAATGTAATATATGAATAAATATTATAGCAATTAAATATAGAGTGAAATTGATATTTAATAATGTAAACGTATCATGCACGAGGTATAGCTGTGTTTTGTGGTCGGACGAGGCGCGGGGCAACGTTGTACGCGAGGCATATGCGGCGGCTGTAAGATTATAAACATATATATATATAGTAAGGCGACATAAGTACGCAAACGTATCATGCACTAGGTATAGCTAAGTTTTATGGGCGGGCGGGTTGGACTAACGTTAAACCTGAGGTATAAACGGCGGTAGAAATATGTACGTAAGCCGCATGCACGCGGATGATAATGGTCAGTCAAAATAAAAATTTGTTTATATATATATAATATTGATGACAAGCACGCGCGTACGGGTACGATAACCAAAAATAAATTTATACAGGAATAGTATTGCCGGCGTGGGGTGGGGTGAATGCGTTATGACAGTCTAGTCTAGACGACGGAATATGCGATAACGCGTTTGGAGATTTACAAATATACATACATACATACATACTAGTGATGGGCATAATCGAATGATTTCGATAATCGAATGATTAGTAATCGAGACATTTTCATAATCGAGTGAATCTCTCGAAAAATCACTCGAAGTTAAAATCGTCTGCTCGTATGATAAGAATAATCAACTATTATTATTTATCGAGAGAATCGAAAAATTATTCGAAATATGAATAAATATACCTATAGTAAATAATTATTAATTTAATTTTGCTTTTTTTATTTGTTGGTGTTTATTTATAATTAATATATTAAACTATAATTTAGGAATAATAATAACAATAATATATTAATAATGCATTATTAATAAGTGCTTTAAATAAAAGACAAGTTGTTATTTTTTTTATTTAATAATTATTACCTATATTTAAAAAAAACCGATAACAAATTTAAAAATAAAAACATAAGATAAGGTAGCAATAGCCGGCTTGACCATCATAATTAAAACACCTGATTCCACACCTAATTGATTTTTCATAAATTCACAACTAGTGAGAGAATCAGAACTCAGTAGTTTAGCCAGTTCAGGACAAAACTTTGTTCTAATCGTCACATACTTCCCAAAAATGTGACAGATAAGGTGTTGCCATGAGTAGCGATTGAACGAGTTGAAAATAAGACTCGAAGTCAACAATTTAATAATAATTCGACTATAATTTATGCTAAATAAAAACTTAAAAATAGTATTCTCTCGTTTCATCGTTTCATGGACATCATTCGATATAACTTTTATTCGATTATATACATTTCAAGATCAAGAAATCATTGTTTTTATAATAAACGAGAAATCATTAGAAATAATCACTCGATTATAGAATAATCAATATTATTCTAATATTATTTATTAAAAAAATCAGAATATCTCGATTATATAATTGATATGATTTCAATAATCGAGATATCTCGATTATGCCCATCACTAATACATACATACATACAGGTGAAACTAATATAAGCGTGTTAATAAAATTTTATAGGAATATATTGTTATTGATGAGTGGTGGGCAGGGTGGGGTGAATGCGTTACGACGTCTAGTCTCAAGGCCATAGACGGGGTACGGGAGTGTAATAACACGTGGCTGGTGGAGATTTACAAACAAACACACAACATACAAGTGAAACTAATATAAGTGTTTTAAAAAGAAAATTGTTATAAATAAATTTACTGGTCTACAAGGAATTTCATCAGATATCAAAATATACTTTCCTTAACCCATTTTCATGGCGATTTTAAATCTGCAATTAGAATTTCGCATATGGACTAATTAATAACAAAATCTGTCTAATTAATATAAAAAAATTTTTATGTTTGATTATTATGTTACGCAGACCCGTATTAAAAAATTTGGCGCCCTCGGGCATATAATTTATACCCCCCCTCATCATCACAATAAATAATAATAATAATATAATACTAATTATTTCGTTCATAATTGATTCTTTGATATTAAAATCCAAAAAATCCAACTTAATAATTAATAAATGAGAATTATTTAATACTTTTTTTAATTAACAAATTAAACAAAATATAACAATAAAAATACAATAAACAATAAAAATTAGTCTGCATTTAGTCTGTCTGTGGATATATTTGACCTTAGATATGTTTTTATACGTCTAAGTGTTGAAAATAACCGCTCTGCGGTACAATTGGTCACTGGAGTACAAAGAAACATACATAATGCTATACTTATAAATGTTTAATAAACAATTTTAAAACCAATATTAATAAAAAAAATATTTATGTATTTTAACTAACACAATTTGTAAATAATATATTTATTATTATTTATACTAGACTAGTAGAAATTACAAATAATTTAAACCGTATAGTTAAAAATAATAAAACTTACATTATTATATAATATAATATAAATGTTATATAGTAATATATCATATGACAATCATCAATGTATCAATTCATCGCATTTTCATAATGCATACACAGTACACACATGACGCATAAGCAAAATACATAAGAATTAAATATAATATAAGTCATAAGTGTATAACGTACTAATAAAAATATATTAAGAGGACGCCATACAGAGAATGAAAAACGGTTTTAAACATGTTTTGCGGGGGACTACTTCATTTGATCTGTATTGATGCTAGAGTTCCAAATTTTTTACCAAATTATAGAGGACAAAATTATCTGTGATCTAGCGTTTTTATTTTTTTGTTAACATAATTTCTAGTACTTTATATTTACTATTAAACATTCCTATTTTTTTGGTTTTTTAAATGTTTTATAAATAGCTTCAGAGTTGTGTTATCAAAATTATAAAAACGCTAGATCACAGATAATTTTGTCCTCTATAATTTGGTAAAAAATTTGGAACTCTAGCGTCAATACAGATCAAATGAAGTAGTCCCGCGCAAAACAGTTTTTATGCAAAATAATGAATTTTTTGGCTATCGACATGTGTCGGTCCCTGGTGGCAATTATAACGTGACGAATTTTTTGTTGAATGACGGTAACCGATTACCCTCACCCTTCAACTGCTACCTTACTATCGATCAAAACCAGTTATTTTTATACTTTGTTATCGACGAACCGGGGTACCATTTAGCAGTCGCTTATCTGAATTTGTAAAATAATTGTTATTATTGACGGATGATGAGACTTAAATTTTAACTTTACTGTGTTCATTTTTACACGTAAATAATGATGCAAATATAATAAAAATATCTATTGATCGGAAATCTGTCAGAAATTTACGTGGAGTTTTATTTTGTAACATTAGAAAACATTCTTGTTACGAATATGAGTCCACAGTATACATTATATTCGTGGGTAGCTGGACGATTCAACCGTCTTTTTAGTATCCGGCGAAAATTAGATATTCTTTCTCCAAAAATTAATTATTTACCAAAAAAATAAAGGTCATGAAAAATTTGTGTATGAATTAAATGTTCACCGGTCCTAATTTATTTATACGTTCTATATTATATCATTTAATTTTTTATGAGTTTTAAGACTCGTGTATCAGTTTTACAAAAAGTTTGTAACACGAATAATAGGCCTTGGCATTATTAAACAGCATTTTACAAATTTCTGATTGACTATGAATAATATATTCATATGTATACATTCTATGTATCATAAATATTATGATACATAGAATATTTCTTACATAATACATTTATTTTATATATGTATTGAGTGGGCGTACGCACTAAACTTACTTGCATTATAGTGAGTATAAACTTAAATTAAATTTTATATGAGCATTTCGACATTCAAATTTTTCAATCTAAAATAAAATCTGCAATTGTGTATTTTTTTAATTCAGAGATAAATATTTTTAATTTACATTTTTTGCACATACCAGGTTTTTCACGCCTATCTTAATTTAAGGTAAGTTATAAATAATAATTCTTTGGAATTTGAACGAAATGGTAGAAAAATAATATATGATAAAGGTATTTTTGATTTTTTTGATAAAATGTGAAATGGCATTTATTTTATGATTTCTATATCCGTTTGTTTGATAATTGGTATAAACAAATGTATCTAATATACATTTGTTTATGTGTATTATTTCTTGGTAATATCTTTAACAAATTTTATACTGACCAAATAAAAATTTATACTTTTATTTTTTGCTTCATTGTGCATTATAACGTTACACTGAAAGTTGATATTTAAACTTTACCACGTTTTGTGTATTTTGTGAAACCCGCGTTACTTATAATGTCACCTAAAAAGCAACGTGCTTGTAAAAGAAAAAATATTTTATCAAAAACTAAACTTAAATTAAGAATGAAGAATATCCAGAAAAGATTCCATAAAGATAAGTCGTAAGTAAATTTGATAACTTAATTTTTGTTGCTGTATATAAAAACAAATTTGCTGTCACTAGAGCTGGCTGCTTATGATATTCCATATTTGTTTCACTCTAATTGTATTTGATTTATAAAATTAAAATTTTAAAAATCATTTCACATCATTTTGAGACTATATTTATCATAAAAATCGATTATATTTATAAATATATATGTATATAATACATATATATGTATATAATACATATTATTTAGATATTAAAAAACATACTTCAAAATTTATACCTTAAATTCATATTTAATTTTTTAATGTTCTTATTATAAGACGAATAATTATTTTATATAGAAAATTGAATGAAATACCACATAATGAGTCAACTTCAAATTATGATGAAAAATATCATCCTATAACAAATATCACTTCATTCAATCATAATTTACTTCAAAATAGTATTAATCCGGATTTATCGTAAGGGTCTTAAATGTTTTTATTTATACAATTTTTTTTTCAAAATATATCATAAGCTTTTAACTTTGTAAAAATGTAGAGATAATATTACCACACATTTTAAACCTTCTAATTTTTAACATAATAATAATATATCTCATTCTGTAAGAAATAGTACTCCTCTAAATCGTAGTTTATTGAAAAATAGTATAAATCAGGATTAATAAATATTTTATTTACATCACTGTTATCATAAAATCTTTTGATTTTTTTTAAACTAAGAATCAGTATGGTCATACATGATACGCCCTCCAGTTCTGAAATGACAGAATGGTCACAATCCAAGTGAGTAATTATATCATAATAGTTTTTTAAATATTTCAACCCCTATTAAGAAATAATTATTACTTATAAAATTATTTATAATTTAATTAAAAATATTTATGAATATCTTTTTCTGTATCTTTTTTACTCAAGTGACTATAGTACATCGGAACATAGTTTAAGTATCCATATGGAAAAAAATAGTGTTTCATCGATTAGTGAAAATGAACCGAATAACCAGTAAAGCATTTCATTAATAATTTACTTATGTATTCAATAAAAACTTCAATTTTCTAGAGAATTAAGTGGTAGAAGAATTGTGAATATATCACATTTAATTCAACAAATTCAAAAGCGTCATGTTGGCCCATATGATTGCTCGTTTGTCGACATGGAATATGAGTCAGAGGTGATCTATGGCTTTTCATCAGTTATCACATTCAAATGTAAAGTTTGTAACATAAAAACTAAATTACATACAGAGGATATGAAACAGTCGGAGATGCGAATAAATAAAGCTGTCGTAAATGCTTGTCATGCAATTGGAATTGGTCATACTCAGCTACAAGAATTCGCGGGATTTCTCGACTTGCCTGTTTTGTGTAGTAGAGGTTTTTTGAATATTCAAACTGAGGTAGCCGAAGTAGTTCATGCTACTGCATGGGATGAAATGAAGAAAGCCGGCGACGAAGAAAGAAAATTAGCATTTGAATCTGGTGACGTAGATATCGATGGCACGCCAGTTATTACTGTTGTCACTGATGGCCAATGGTCCAAGCGAAGCTACAAGACCAAATATGACGCATTATCTGGAGCAGTAAGTCCCTACAAGAACATTATATATTTCTTCTGCTTGTTACACAACTCACTAATATATTTTTTTTAATTTGTTAATAATATTGTCATTTGAATGATAGTTATACATTTATACATTAATTAATGTATAATTAATGGTTGTTTTTAAGACAGTATTAAGTTTAAAATACCAACTTTTTATGTCGCCTCTAAAAATCAAAAATATTTTTACATCAAATGGTTGTAATAAAAAATTTAAATAAAATTATTAAAATAATTCTAACGTTTTGTTTACACGTAGGCAACAATAATTGGACTAAAAACTCAAAAAGTTTTATTTGTTGGAATACGTAACAAATATTGTATAATTTGTCAAAGGGCTTCAAGTATGAAAATTAAAAATGTACCAGATCACAAATGTTTTCTTAACTGGAAAAAAGCTTCAACATGCATGGAAGCAGATTGCATTCTGGAAGGATTTTCTAAAAGCATCGAAATGCATGGTCTTAAATATAACTGTTTGATTGGTAATTAATAAATTATATACAAGTACTAAATTATTATTATTGTGTTATTACATTAATAATAAAAATATATTGCTTGATAGGTGATGGCGATAGTAGTGTAACTAAACGATTGGTAGAAAGTCGACCATATGGCATTGAATTCAATATTAAAAAAATTGAATGTAAAAATCACCTTTTGAGAAACTATACTTCAAAACTTACAGCTATGGCCAGAAACACAAAGTATCCACTTCGTGTTCGCAAGTTCATATTGTCAAATATTCTGCGGTTTAGAAGTGATGTTCAAAAAGCTGCCCTTCATTGGAGAAAAGAAGCAGGACTAACCAAATTACAAAAAATTAAAGGTATCAATTTATAATATTATTTTACTCAGTCAGAGAATCAGATTCTTTATTACATTTTATTTTGAATAACATGATGTTCAGTTTAATTTTACATGTACCATTAACTTGATACATTTTAAGTTTTAATAAATGTATATTATTTTAGGTCTTAAGAACGACTTAATTAATGCACCCTATCATAGACTTGGCCAACATACAAAATGCAGTTCATACTTTTGTACTGGATCAAAAGAAACAACTATAAATTTAGTTCCAGAGGCGGAAACTGGAGAGATGATGAGAGAAATATTAAATATTTCTTCTAGACTCGTTTCTCATTCAGAAAGTTTATTAGAAAACAAGACCTCTAATATTTGTGAACAATTTAATTCTTTGATTAATAAACACGTAGGAGGTAAGAGATTGAACTTTTGTGGAAGAGGCAATTATAATACGAGGGTAGAGGCAGCTGTTGTGGCATTCAACTCCAAAGAATATTTAAGACAAATACATAAAAAAACAAGTAACTGCAGTCCAGGTAAAATATATAGTTCTAAAATTATAATTATAATTTTAGAATTTTTAAAAATTAAAAAATACAGAAATTATTTATTTTTTAATTATTTCACATTCTTATTATTATAGGAAAATTCGGTAAAAAGTTTTTATTGAATCACGAAAGAATAAAGTGCAATACTAGTAGAAGACGACAATTATTCCCCGATAAGAGAAAATGCAAAAAACCTAAATCAAATGGTGCGGATGAAGACTATGGACTAGCAGAACCGCTTATAGAAATATTTTCACCGGAAGAAATTGAGATGAAAAAAAATAATTTTTTGGAATCTTTAGGTCAAGCTGATGTTAAAAAAATTGAAATTGAAACGAGAGATCAGAGCAACAATGCAATGTGGTACAGTGAACGAAAGAAACGCTTGACTGCCTCTAATTATGGTCAGATATGTAAGATGCGATCCAACACAAGCTGTAGAAATGTAGTTTATAATATTTTATACGCACCTGATGTTCAGTCAAAAGCATTGCAGCATGGAAAAATAATGGAAGCTAAAGCTCGACAAGAAGTTGAGCGGTTATTAAATAAAATTGTCAACAATAGTGGTTTGGTAGTAGATCCAGATTTTCCATATTTAGCCGCTAGTCCAGGTAATTAAATCGAATGTTTTATTTGTTTTATGTTAGATTACTATAAAACGACAACATTTTTTTTTAATAATTCATTTTAACTTGTATAAGATAAATTTATAGCTAAAACTGGGCATATAACGCGCTGATATTTACATCGTACATACACTTTATTCTAAGTATTAAAAATTTAATTTTAACTAGCGTAAAAATCAATGACATAAAGAAATTATTATTGTGTTATATTACTATATTACCTACTATACTACGTTTGTCTAGACGGTGTAATAGAAGAAAATTATTTGGTGGAAATTAAATGTCCGTATTCTGCTCGTGACTCGAGTAGTGCTGTAGAAGCAGTAGAAAATAAACTAGTAAGTATCAATTTAATTAAGTAATATTAAAAATAAATATTTATTTTTAAAAACTATACAAATTTTATTTTTAGTTACAATATTGCAAGTTTGAAAGTGCTAAATTAAAGTTAAAAGAAAACCATGTGTACTTTTATCAAATAATGGGTCAATTACACTCTACACGTAGAGAGAAATGTTTTTTTGTAATTTATACTAACAAATGGATAAATATAGAGGAGATATACTACAATCAAACATTTTGGAACGAAAAAATGTCAAACCAACTTAGAATGTAAACCAATCAATTAATAATATATATTGTTAAAAATATAAATAAAAAGTCACTAATATTTTACTTTCATAGGTTTTACATGGAGTGTTTACTACCAGAGATTGTAGATCCCCAGTTCCCAAAGAGATTGCTCAAATCAGATATAAAAGAACCAAAAAAAATATCAAAAAACACAAGAAAAAATTAATATATATAAAATAATTAAAAATTTGTTTGATTAATTATTTTTCTTTTTTTTCCTTCGACTCTATAATGACTTTTTTCAAGGTAAAACCACACTGCACTAAAATCTAACATATGACTGTAAATTTAAGGTGATTGTGTCATGGATAGTGACACTGCATTAAAAGATAAAAAAACTTTTATTCTCTATTCTCGGTCGAAAAGAATCGATTTATAATCAGTAAAAATTTTAATAATTAGTTCCCCAACAATTTCAATAATATTCGATGTTTTAACTTAACTAAGTACTAACTACATACATGTTACTAGATATTATTATTATATATTTCACATAACACGATAAATTATATAAAATTAATTTTTTCATTGTTGTGAATAAATTATTAACTACAAATGTGATACTCATAACATTTTAACGTTTAATAAGCGGTAGCATTTGAAATAATATCATATTATAATCTTATGATATTTTATTATAATTACATATTCATTTTGTTTTATTTTATGAGAGCTTTATCGCCTTTATCAATGAAAATAATATGTAACGCACAGCACAACAGTCAATAGTAGAATGATGTGCTGCTCCAAAATAATATTAGGCGGCCGTACAGGTGTGCGCGTGCTATATGGAATGATGGACAGGGGGTGATTGAAGAGTTCGGTTGTAAAACATCTAAAAGCGCATTCTCTCGGTCATATCGTTGTTTCGTTTGCCCGTATGGCGTCCTCTTAATACTGTTGTCTGTCACAATTTACAATGCAATACCATTGAATATCGATATCACTATACAATTATCATTGTTTTGATTTATTCGGTAAAATAGTTGACCAATTTCTAAAATTAGATTTTTTCTGAATATCTTTATCATCTAGCTATTATAGTCGATTGTAGACAATAATCACGGACCAAGATTATATTATATATATACTACATATCTTAGTTCGTAGCAATAATACAGCTATATAAACAGTAGTTCATAACATTTTTCTAAAATACAAATTAAAGCTAAGAAAGACTCATGGGTTAATATGTGCTCTAAGTTACAACTTTTGCGATAAAGTGGTACCACCATACGTTCTTAACCTTGATGAATCTAATTCATACTTCGCAACTCATGTGCCGCATAATAATACCAACTTCCTTTCATCTCCTTTCAGTCGTTATGAACTCTCCTTAGCTATTTCCTCTAGAAAGTCCACTGCAGCTGGCTTAGATAGTATTTCTCCTTTAATGCTCAAACACCTTCCTATTAAAGCATTTGATATACTCTTATCTATTTTAAATGATTTATGGCTTAATAATATCATCCCTGAATCCTGGAAAACCTTTAAAGTCATTCCTATTCCTAAAAGTGGTGCTTCAAGCCCTGCATACCGTCCTATTGCTCTTTCTTCTTCCTTATGCAAAATAACTGAGTTTATTTTAAAAACTCGCCTCGATTGGTTTCTTGAAGCCAATTCTCTATTACCAAATAACATGTTTGGCTTTCGACGCGATGTAGGCACTATGGAATGTTTATCTTCCTTAGTTGGGTCTGTTTATCATTTGTATTGTAACCGCCTTTTTACTGCAGCTGCCTTTGTTGATATTCGTGGTGCTTTTGATTCTGTTCATATACCTATACTTATTTCTCGTCTTTTTTCCCTCAATATTCCTATTGTGATGTGTAAATTTATATTTTCTTTATTTCATTGTCGTAATCTCCATTTTAACTCCCCATTTGGCTCTACCTGTTATAGAACCACTTATAGAGGACTTCCTCAAGGTAGTTGTCTCAGTCCAATTCTTTTTAACATTTATACTGCAGATATAAGCATCGCTCTTTCATCATCCAACAATCATTCGAGTTTATTTAACGATGACATTATCATTTTTTCTTCCCATAAATCACTTGAGATTGCTGCCTCTAACATTAATATTGCTCTCCAAACTCTCTCTACGTCTCTTCAGTTATCTTTTTTTGAATCTGCTCCGGAAAAAAGTAAAGCTATTGTTTTCACAAGAAAACACATTCTTCAAATTCCGAATATTTATCTTGATAATGTTAGTTTATCTTATTATGATTGTGTCACTTACCTTGGCCTTAAGCTTGACCAAAAACTTCGTTGGATGCCACATTTTAAATACCTGATTTCCACTTTACCACGTTGGTCCAATTTGTTACGTTCTATAGCGGGGACTTAGTGGGGCTCCCACCCCTCTTCACTTCTTCTTGTATTTAAATCTCTTATACATTCCAAAGTAGATTATGGATCTTTTCTATATTCCTCTGCCTCCATCGTGCACTGTAAATTCCCTTATGACTTCTTGTTTACGTACTATCTTAGGCGCCGTTTACTCTACCCCAAATATAAGTTTAGAAGTGGAATGCGCTTGTCCCCCCATCGAAGTTCGTTCTCGACTTCTAGCTTGTAAATTTCTTACTAAACAGTTATCCTATTCTGCCAACTCGATATTTTATAATTATCATTCTCTATGCGCAGTTTGGCGTTATGNTCATTCTCTATGCGCAGTTTGGCGCTATGTTCCCAAAACTCTTCCTTTACTTGCTTCAATCTCTTCGATTTTGACTCCGTACCTTAATATGATAATCACATCTTTAAATCGTTTGCCTATCTATGATGTCTCCTTCCTAGCTCTCATTTATTGCCCACCTATTCACTTTAACCATCACTTTCTTTCTTACTCAAAACTGCAATTACAATCTCTCCCTATTAATTTTGTTAATAATCTATTCAATGAATTCTTATTCTCTAATTTCTCCAATTATTGTTTTATGTTTACTGATGGTTCAGTAAGCTCTAATTCCGCTGGTTTCTCGTTCTTTATTCCTAGTCTTAATATTAAATTCCCAGATATTCTCCCTTCACAATCTTGTTCTTTTACTACTGAGTGTTATGCCATTTCTTCGGCCCTTGAGCTTATTTAATCCTTCAATATTTCTAATGATTTAATAATTACTGACTCTTTATCAGTCCTTTCTTCTCTCTCTTTTAATTCATTAAAAAAATCCAGATCTTTTCTTATTATTAAAATAAAATCATTAATTTATAATCTTTTCTTAGCTAATACAAAAATCGAATTTTTATGGTGTCCTAGTCATGTGGGTATTTTTGGTAATGAGGAGGCTGACCATTTAGCCAAACTTACCAAATTCATTACCCGTCGTCCAACCCTCAATATTCCATCGTCCGACTTCGTTTCATCCCTTAATAAGACGATATTTCTAGCATGGCAAGAATATTGGTCTTCTCCTTTCTCTCTCATCGCAGCTTGGCACAAATCAATTTCACCAACTATTCCCAATCATCCTTGGTTCCATAAACTTCCTCTCTCCCGGTTCCATATATTATCCTTTTCTCGACTAAGACTTGGTCATAATCGCCTTCCTTTTCATGCGTACAAAATGTCCCTTAACAATTCTCCTTTCTGCCCCAAACATGACGATGAAGTTCTCTGCGATTTTCCTCATATAATTTTTGACTGCTGTGCATTTGAAAGTAATCGTTCTATTTTATTTAATAATTTATCTCATCTTAATATCTCTCCTATTAATTGTTACGCTATTCTTAACTCAACTTCTCTCAATGTAATATCTTTAGTTATTTCTTTCATTTATTCAGCTGGTTTTTTTATTTAACGATGTTTACTGTAATTTTGTTGTTGTAAGATCAATTGTACTATTTTTTTTTTTATTATTATTATTTTTTTTCTTTTCTTTTCTCATTTTATTTAATTGTTAAGCTATAATAATACTTTGTATTGAAAGCTAATAAAAAAAATACAAATTACAAAAATATTAAATAAAATGCAATTACTTTTTTTTTTCATTACATTTTTAAAATAAATTTTGCTAAAATATTTTGCCGCCCCTGGGCATATGCCTACCCGTGCCACCCCTAAATACGGCCCTGATGTTACGTATGAATAATCAATACATATATTTTAATTTAAAAAAATACGTAACAAGCAGAATGTATTATGTGTAGTGTATCAATATACACTATAATATATAGTATATATGTAATAATTATTTAAATACTAAGAGTTACATTGAAAATTTTACTAAGACTTCTATTCAAATGTTTTATTACAAATTGAAATTTATTGAATTATGAAGTTAATATTTAATTATTTAATATTGTAGTTTTTATAGAGAAATAATAAAAAATTATAAAGTAGTATATTTTGTCACTTCTGTAACATACGTATAAACATTAAACGTTTTGATGCAATACTGTATGAACAATTTTTTTTTTACTTATGAATTATAAAACATTGGCTTACAAGGAATTTTCATCGGAATCAGAAATATATATTTCTAAATCAACTTTTCTCTCTGTTTTCAAATCGAAAATTTCACTTTTTCTATCATTTCTAAGTTATGATATTATTACTAATTATTTTATAGAACTTTTTATGGCCGACCCCAAGTAGTTGAGATTAAGGCGAGGAGCAAGAAGAAGAAGATAGAATTTTTTTATCACTTTTAATTTTTATATTATTACCAACTAGTTAAATATGAGTATTTACATATAAAAATACTAATTAAAACAAAAAAAAAATGTATTTTCAAATACAGCTTCTCAGCTTCGCTTCGAAGCTAATAAAGAGTGTTTTAAAAGTTGGTTCGTATTTTAAACGACTGTAAAATATTTATATTTTAAACAAAATTTAATTTTCTCTTAACAATCGTGTTGTGGTCTTGTCATTCAAGTATTGAGATTACATTGATTATATGACCACCCAGGCTGGCATAACATTGCAAAATCTGATCGTTGAAATTTTCAACGACACACACATAGAGTTTTGTGATCTCAGCGATGACTCTTCTGGTTTTAGTCTTCAGCATTAGAATCGTTGTTAGTTTGTCTTCATAACCATCGATTTCAAAATTTTGTTTTCAAATTTTTTTTTGTTTTAATTATTTTTTTTATATGTAAATAATCATTTTTTACTAGTTAGTAATAATATAAAAAAATGAAAAGTGATGAAAAAAAGTCTAATTGAAGATTTGAAAACAGCGAAAAAAGTTGAAAAAGAAAAGTATATTTTTGCTTCTGATGAAAGTTTCTTGTAGTCCTGTTTAATTATTCATAAGCAACAAACAGTTTTTTTTTGAAGAGTATTACATCAAGCCCTTTCAATTTGTATACACGTTAAAAGTAAAGAAATATACAACTACTTTATTATTTTTATAATATCTCCGTAAAAATTGCAATATTAAATTATTGAATATCAATTTCATACGTTTTCATTATAAAACTGTGAAAACTTTATTTTTTTTCTTTATTTACAAGTTCATTAGAGCAAACGTTTGATAGGAGCTCATTGAGCAAACACACCTCGTATATGCTATAGATAACAGAAGAGAATAACGTGCACTCAGTGGCGTATTTTGGGGGGATGTCCTCCATGTCTGGACACCCCCCGACTTAAAAAAAATGCCTAATATATTGGTATTAACTTTTTTTATAATATACTATATTTATTTACTATAAAATAAATGGTATTTTAAATAAATAACAAAATTGAAGATAATTTGATAGGATTCGACGACACGTATTTATCTACATTTTATCAGAGATTTCTAGAAATTATTTGGATTTCATTGGGTCATTTAGATAACAAAAATACCCGTAGCAAAAATATAATAACAACGGAAATATTCTGAACTTGTAGTTCATTTTTAAATTTATTTTATAGTTTATCAGTTTAGAGAATTATAAACAAATAATTTTAGTTACCCCTATTAAATATACCGCATTCATAAAAAATACAGAAAAGAATTTTTTGTTATTAAAATAGTATTTAAAAAATAAACAAAAGTTATGAAAGTCTTTATGAATCGTCATTTAGTAAAATTAAAATTAAGTTGTTAAGATAGTAGATACGCTTGTTAATCTAAAAATTTATAATTGGCTGACTTTTTAACTTAATTGTATCCATAACTGTATATTATATTTGTACACTCACATAACAAGAACATTAAATTATTTCAGTTAAGATAAATGTATATTAAATTTGAAATAAAATGTTACAAAGAAAAATAAGATTAAAATAAAATAACAAAACAACAATTAAACATAGAAAAAGTAAAAAAATGTTTGGTGGTATACAAATAAAAATTTCAATTTATAGTGAATATTAAGAAAATTGATATAAAATACAAAAATAAAATTTCATTCATAAAAATATTAATTGAATAGCTCGCCAGCAATAATTTTATTTTTGTGTCTTAATCTTATAAAAGGCATAAAATTTGTATTTATTGGTGTTGTATCTCCTCGAGACATTTTTTCTGCCAGCTCAACAGTAAATGGCCCACAATCATGTCCATTGGTTTGGCGAGATGTCTCGCCTATTTGTAATGTCCATATAGAAGCTATTCCTTTTTTGTCCATCTCCCATTCAATTAAGAAATTTTTTAATATCATTGGATAGGGACCCTCATAGGACTTAAGACTATCATATGATGTCACAGTCTTTTCAGGTATATTAACCATTGTCAATATCCAATGACTCTCATATACATTCATGGACACAAAAAGTAATTTTATTGTGTGAATATCTTTTTTCATCCATCTTCTTACAGCTGGATAACCTCCTCGAAAATACGCTACAATAAAATCAGTGACAACTGCATAAACTTCTGTTCGCCACCGGACTCCTAATAATACGGTTGGTCCGTATGACTAATAGTAGCGCACCGACAAATCACAATAATTGGTTTTAATCATTAATAGTGGAAAATAAAAAAGAAAAGGCTACCATTCATACAATTACTATAGTTTTAATAATACAATTTTAGTATAATATAAATTTACATACAATGACAACGAGAAAAACGTCCAAGCCAAGTCCTCCACGGATTCTTCGACCAAGCCACACGGTCCAGCCAGTGTACGAAAGAAGATCTTCAACAATAAAGAAGATGATGGCCCGAATACAGCACAAAAAAAAAAAACCAGGAACCAGCGTCGTATATTTGACGACCAACTCAACAAAATCCCACTGGATTTTCGTCACCGTACGCACACGTAAAAAAACCGGTCGTGCGTATCATAACAACAGCGTGTACAATACACTACTATATGAGCAATAGGAAAAAAAACGACATGCACGACACGTTCAATGCTGTCCACACCGCTGGTCAGCCATACTCACGGACCGGTTTATCCCCGCTGCAAGCCTTTCAAGTACTCTACATCAGAGGTTCTCAAAGTCAAATGAATCACGGACCCCCATCTAAAGACCTATAGTCTTTGAGAACCTCCGGTTGGGTTCCAGGCGTACTTTTTTTTTTTTGATCATCATTATATTATTTTTCGGAAAACAAGCAAAAAAAAAGTCAAAAAAAAAAATTTACGAAGGAACCCAACCCAACGCATTATGCTAATTATTCTTAGTTTTGCCTATATCGTTATGTGTAAATATATAGCTTTCTGTTTTTAATTTAATTTTGAATTTGATGAAGCACCAGATATAAAAAAAATATTTTTTTTGTATCAGGACTTGAAATTAAAAAAATTTTTAATGTACTCAAATATTTTTATTAACATAAAACATCTTGATAAACATATAAACACTATCAATGGGAAGAATGCATTTGTTTCTTAAACTTTATAATGTCCGAAGTATTAGGAACAATTTTTGAAATTTTCAACCTCAATGCTGTTTCAACGTTCTTCAGTCGATTTCTCTTGACACTTTTTATGTTACAAAGTGTAGAAAATGTCTGTTCACACGAATAAGTCGTACAAAAAGGCACAAGTTGTTTGAGGGCTTTGTTTGCTAAATCTGTGAATTCCGACCGGGCAAGAAACCAAAAATGACATTAATCATTTTCTTCTTTGAAGATTATTTCCCAAGCTCTACTGCAAGACAAATCTACCAGTTGATCTTGTTCATTTTCAGAGAGGATAGTAAGGCTGGCAATATCTTGTTGTTTGAAAGGGTGGCTCATACAGTCACTGTTTTTATCTGGTGCAGGAAAATACTTTCTCACAGCACTCGCTAAGTCTGTCATATGTTCGACAATCATGTCTTGAATCTCAACAGGTAGACTGTCTTCTGATTTGGTTAGAAATTGTTGTAACACAGGCAATGATGTGTAAGACTTTCTTTCAACTCGATTTAACCACAGCTTTAGTTTTTCAATCATTGCTCCGATTTTGTCTTCTACTACGAATATATTAGTATCAGGTCCTTGCAGCTTTAAGTTCAAAACATTCAAATGTGTAAAAAAATCTACCAAGTACACAATTTTGCAGAGCCACGAAAAGTCATTAAGTTTTTCTCTTAAGATGAACTTTTTGTGTGTACCATCACAAAGCAATATTCTTACTTCATCAGCTAGTTCGAAAAAACGTGTAAGAACGTTTCCTCGAGAAAGCCAGCGAATCTCTGTGTGTAAAAATAGCTGTTCGTGTTCACTTCCCATTTCTTGACATAGCTTGGTAAAAATGCGAGAGTTCAAGGGTCGAGACTTAATGTAGTTGACAATTTTGACGAGTTCGTCAAATACAGTTTTAAGCTCAGTTGACATTTTCTTCACTGCCAGAGCCTCTCTATGTATTGAACAGTGTGTCCACCTGACGTTCCGCGCTACTTGCATCACCCGAGCCATCAATCCAGTTTTATGACCCGCCATCGCTCCAGCTCCATCAGTAGTTAACCCTACACATTTATTCCAATCTAGTTCATTTTTTAAAATACAATTATTAAGAACTTCAAATACATCATTTGCATTGTTATGTATTACTTCTTTCCAAAATAACAGATCTTCAATGACATATTTTTCGGGTTCGTAACGGACAAAAGCTAGCAAGTGAGATTTATCAGTAAAATCTGTACTCTCATCTAGTTGTAATGCGAGCATTTCCGTAGATTTTAAACGTGAAATTAATTGGGAGTGCACATTTTCAGATATATCGTCAACCCTTCTCTTAACTGTGTCGTTTGATTTCATAATCAAACTTATTTCTTTGGCCGTAGTTTCATCTAACATTATACTGCACTTACTTTTTGCAGCAGGCATGATAAGCTCCTCTCCTATGTTATAAGGTATTTCCCGACTTAGCTATCAACGGAGAAACAGCATATGATGCAATGGTTGCCTTTTCATTTGTAGTGCCAGTTGCAATTTTTTCAATTTTATTTTTTGACTTTTTCATTTCATTATTTTTTATTTTAAAATATTCCATTGACTTACCAGAAAACTCGGAGTGTTTTGTTTCTAAATGCCTAAGCAACTTAGCAGGTTTCATTGCTTCATTGGAAAGTATTTTGTAACACAAACACATTGCGGTTTTTGTTCAATGTCTATACCCGCTTGCACAAATCCCAGGTTTAAATATTCATCACAATATTTGCGTTTTTTGGCTTTATTGACACTATCACTAGACTTTGAGCAAGACGGCTTGTCAAGGTTAGGTGGGACAAGGGCCTGTCTGCCGCCTCCATTAGTTTCAATCGGCACTTTAGTTGCACGTACAGTACCCATCTTTAACCAACAATCCATAGCTAATTTCTAAAGACCAACACTCAATTTTTTATTATTATATTGTAAATTTACCATATAATAATATACCACGTAGGACATAAGTCATTAACAACACAATATTCCGCGACGCGACGTAAAACGATCGAGACGGCTGCGATGGGCAAACTAATTTTAAATACTATTATAGGTATCTACGATTAATGATGAGCGTAATCTGTCTTTATGCTTGTTAGTTATCAATTTTCACCGAGTATCAATAATAATACTGGTAAATACAAAATTATAAAACTATTAATAGATTTATCGCGGTACACCAGTTGAAAACCACTAGTATAGATTATAGAAAGTACTTTCAAACACAAAATAACGTTTATTAACAGCAGCCTATATTTGGGTTGGGTTTGGGTTAGCTCCGCGGACCCCCTGATATGGGCTCTCGGACCCCTGGTGATCCGCGGACCACACTTTGAGAAACTCTGCTCTACATAATACCCGGCGCGGACGCGGAGATAAGCCGGCCATCAGCTGACTACTTTGGTGCTGCCCAACTTGCTCAAACAACTTCACCTTCTGACCGTTTTACANGACAACTGCATAAACTTCACCTTCTGACCGTTTTACTATCATTTTAATGTACTCATTAATTGTGTCTGAAGTATACCAAGATGTGTGCGATTTAAATGAAGGTGCATTATACTGATCAAGAGATTTTGTGTTCTGATCTTGCATTACTTCTGCAAGTGTAACCATATTTAAACATTTTTCATAAAATTAATAAAAGACTTTGTTGAACAATTTACTATTATTTAGGTTTATTTAAGGTTTTGGAATATGAAATTAAACACGTATAATTACTTTTGTTTAAAACGTCCATGGACCCCCTTAATGACACGCCTCTGCAGAAGTTATATTAATTTAACTCGTATTATAATTAATTATGTTTAATAAATAATATTTTTTTATTTAATTTTACATAAAATAAATAGATTAAATAACTAATTACCTTTTTCTTTCTCTGGTACTTTTATTACTTCAATAGTGGACAGAGCAAGTAAATTTACGTCATTCGGCGTATTTAAGGTCAAAGGATTAGAACTAACTTTTGGCTCTAAAATAATTTATGTTTAAAAATATTACATATTTGTTTCAAGAATGAAAACTTCATATTTTTTAAAAATGAATTATATTTTAAAAGTTGTATACTTTTTATGACTTTTTCATCTTCTTCGGATGAATTTCTTTTTAAATTTGGTCGAGCAGTAGTATTAGAAGATATCTCAAAAAGTTGTTTTTTTATTTCGGATTTTTTGCGTTCCAAATTTTTCTTATGAAAACTCTTAACGGATCATAAAAATATATTTAATTATATGATAAATTTATTTAAGAAATCTGCTTTAAGTCCAAAAAATGGTTTAGGGTATACCCTAAAATCTTTTTATTGAAATAAAGCATAATAAAATATACCTTTTCTAACAAATCAGCTGATATTAATAGCGGATTGTCTTTTGAAATTGCTATATTTTTTTTTTCTGTTGAATTTAAAATTTTATTTTTATATTTTTCATTCTAAAAAAGTGTTCCGAATTCTCTTTGCTGCANATTTTTCATTCTGAAAAAGTGTTCCGAATTCTCTTTGCTGCATCATATTCTAGGTAACCAAAGAGATATTTAAATAAACAAATAAACTATACTTAATATTATATTATTATCTTCGATAAAAATTGAATTTCCCATAAAAATCCAATAGAAAAAATAGCAGAATAATATTAAACATTATGTTATCGCATTTATATTAAGGGGGTTGATAGTTTATTTTATATTTTTGAATCAGACAAACCCCAATAACATAGCTAAATTGAATAAATATATTAATATAATTATAGTTACCAATTTTTCTAGAATAATTTTATCATTTTTATTCGTTTTTCGATACGTTCATTTTTTTGGAATAATGAAATTTTTTATAGGATAAATATTTTTATTAATAATTGCTGCAAATTGAATATAATTTTAATAATTATTAATTAAATAATCAATTTCGAAAAAGGTTTTTAATATTAAAATAGTTAAATTAAAGTAAAGCGACTGAATTATTGTTATATATGAATAAGAGAACTTATTATTAATTTTTCTTATATTTTATATTAAAAAACTTTTTCTCTATTCGAAATAGTTAGTTTAATTATTAATCTTAATAGTGTTTACAGATAATTCTTCCATCTTTAGTTGACTTTTTTGATATTTGTCCTTTATTTGTATTATTTAAAACACAATTGGAATGCATGAAACGACGATTCCATATTTCTTCAACTCTGCGTATGACCTTATGTAAGTTTGATTCATTTGTTTGACCAAAAATATTTTTTTCACTTGCCATATCAATAACTAATTAAATAAATCTTAATAATTACACAAGACGATAGTTTATTTTTCACGGGAAAAAACGAAGTGAACTGAAATGTCGATAAAATCAACATTTACATCTAATTGTCAAGGAAACTTAATTGTAAAAATTCATTAAAAAAAAAAATATATATATATATTAAAGATATTTTGAAGAAAAACCTTTTGTATTTGTTTGTTTATTTATTACATTAGTTTACAAATGATAGGGATTTTTTTATGAAAGTGCAAGTGGAATAAATTTGATATCGGTTAACAGAATATTTATGCATATAAAATTTAATCTGTATGAAATAAAATATCAACGTTTGGATTTATTCTCTTGCAACTATTAAAAATTTTGCCCATGTGAAATTGCTATTTCCATTTAGTTATTAACAAAAAACATCATCCCATGCGATTATAATCAACATAAAAATTTATTAAGTTGAATATATAATATAGTTTAACAATTTAATTAATAATTGAATTAATGACATAATAATTCTGATAAAAGAAAATAACAGGAGATTTGAATTAATTTTAACGACTTTACAAATCGAAAATAACTTTAGGGTTTAACTACCTTATAGGTTTAATTATTATTTGCATTTTTAATGTTATTATTATTATTTTTTTTTTTTTTTTTGACAATAACGGCTATCTTTGTAACTTCAATATATATCAAGAAAATGACAAATTATCCAAGAAAATCAAGGAAATTTTAGAGAAATATTAAGATACAGAGCCCAAGGAGATAACCGTTTAAAATCATTTTTGGAAGCGGAAGAAACAATAAAATATACAAGTGAAACACTTCAAAATGAAATAATTGAATCCTGTAATAAAATTATTTTAAATAAAATCGTAAAAAACATAAATGCCCAAAGATGTTTCAAAATACTTGCTGATGAAACGGCCGACATTGGTGGAAGCGTACAAGTAACTTTGTGTGTTCGATATTTAGATGTTGAAAATATGTTTATCAAGGAAGAATTCTTCAATTTGTACCTACAACAGATACTACTGGAAAAGGTTTATATATTATTATTCAAAGTTTACATTCATTTAACGTAGAAACAAAATACCTTAGAGGACAGTGTTACGATGGATGTGCTTCTATGTCTGGTCAATTTAACGGAGCTCAATCTCTTATTCACCAAAGTTATCCGCTTGCGACGTTTGTTCATTGTGCTGTTCATGTTTTAAACCTTGCTATTTCTTATTTATCTTCTATACAAGAAACACGAAATTGATTAGGAACAACATCTAAAGTTAGAGATTTTTTCATATACCCAAAGCGAAAAGATGTGTTGAAAAGTCAAATCGAAGAAAGTCAAAAATGTATAACTAAAAAATCATTAAAACAATTATGTGCGACTAAATGAGTTGAACGTTTTTATGCTGTCAATGATTTTCTTGAGCTTTTTGTGTACCTAATTGAATCGTTATTTATAATTTCGAAGTGGAATGACACTGAAACATCATCAAAAGCAAGTAATTTACGATCATCAATACTGAAAGGAGATTTTATTATTTGTTTACTTATTATAAATAAAGTATTTAGTTATGAGTTACTTTGTTTAAAACAACTTCAAAGAAATTAGCAGGTACACAGCATTGTTATTATCAATGGTAGTAAGGCACATTGTTGTGAGTTTATAAATACACTAACTGTCAATACAGAAAGTATATCTATGATAGTCATAATTGATAATAAACAATCCGTGACTGCGACATTGATATCATATAAACCATTTAGCTACCTGTATTTTTAATCATATCATCATGTGTATTGTACATGTATATTAACTCAAAAATTTGAAACTTTAAATGTTTATATCTAATAAACTAATAAAGTTATATTAAAAATTCAAATGCCATTTACTATTTAATTAAAAATCCAAACATTTTATTATATTCAAAATATGTGTTCCCATTTAAAAGACAAAAAGACAAAGTTGACACCCTTACAAGGCATAAGGGATGAACATAAAAAGTTTTAAATAGTTAATAATTTAAGAATAATATGTAACTAAAGAAAACCAAAAATAATGTTTAAATTATATTTATTCTAAAAGTAAATGAGTGGGTTATGATAAAAAAATCAGTCTGTATACAGTAATATAGTTTATCATTTGTAAAGCTGGAAG